ATATATATATATATATATATATATATATAATATATATATATACATTTAAAAAAATAGTAATTTAAAGACATAACAATTTTTACAAAAAACACTGCTTCTAGATCTCAATGGTGTGTATTATTGTCCTCTCTACTTACTATGCACAGCAGCGCAAGTCTCCCATCCAGAGTTTGGAGTGGCCTGGCCTAGTCTGCTCTGCTGTGGCTGGCAGCACAAGCTGTGTGTGTGTGTGTCTGTGTGTCTGTGTGTGTTATTTGTGTGTATTTTGTCGGGTGGCCTATAGAGCCTCTTCATCTCTTCCCCCTTTGGAGCAGCTTGTTAAACAGCCTCTGCTCAGCCTGCCCAGAAGTAGAGCTTCATACGTGTGTATGTGTGCCCCAAGCATGGTGTCCCTTTCAGTTTAGTTCTTGGACTGTGGATTAAATAGCTGGAACAAATGTACCGGAAACCCCGGGCAGAAGCAGACATATACAAGCCCACAAGAAGTTACACTCATACAATAGGTGCAGCAGACCAATGTTTACTTATCTTCCTAAAACAGGAAAACAACACACAGTTGATTCATTGGAAAGATACTGCAAAGTTTAACTTGCTGAGATTTGAGAACATTTATGAACAGTTTTCAATTTGACCGCAGTGTTTTGTTTGCGTATAGATGATAAAAGGTTTTCTCAGAGATTTCAATAAAAATAACCAGCTGCTGCTTTAATCATCCGGGGATCTTTAAGGACAGAATTAACCAACAACCACAGATGGCAGCGCTCCAAAAAAAAAAAAAATAGCACCCGGGACACAAAGATACAGTGCCTGGGACAATTGTGGGAAAATAGAGGAATCTTTAGCAACTTAAATTCTTATTCAGACCATCGTGGAAAAATGTATTCAGATTAGCAGTCAGTATATGGCATATATTGACCTTCTCTCTCACTTTGCCTTTCCGGATGTCTGGATTAGGGTGTTCCTATAGCCTAGTTTGTATGTAAATAGTTTGTTTGAGCTTGTAAATATTTAAATAGTTTGTTTTCTCTTCCCCCTCCCTTTAAATACACAATATAAAAACATGTACACTGGAAAGGGAAAGGGACAGTGAGGAGAAAAAAAGTTTCCAACCCTGACAGAGGAACATGCTAGCTGCAGAAAGTCCAACATAACTTACTCTAGATGTAGTAATATTTGAAGTATTTTCTCGATTGCTTTCGAATTAGAGTGCCTTCAGAGTTGATCCTCTCAGGCTTGCATTCTGGGAAAACATTGTTGTGTTCTGCTTCAGTTTGGTGCTGCATTCCCAGCTTTCCACGGTGTGTTTTTACTGAAGCACTCTGAGGTGTAAATCTGCATTCTGGTGGTGATTTAATAATGGGATAAAGGTATAATTGTTAGTGCCAACCTCTTCCTGTAGGTTGAAGGGTGGACCTCGCAGTTATAATAATAATACACTCTGTGCTGCTCTGGGTGGTGTTCCTCCTGTTATGAGTTTGTTTTCACTTCTTGGGACCCTTTCTAAAGTTAGCTTCCCACTTCTGTAAAATTATCCTGCACCCTGGATTCTAAACTATATTCAGAGACCAGATAAACATTACTTTTAAAATAATTTCCCTATAAATTACTTCCAGAGAGAGCAAAACATTTCAGTGTCAAACTCCAGTGTGCTCCTGCTCTTCAGTTGTCATGTAGGTTTTTTTCTTTTAGATTTGGCAGTGTCCTGTCCTGTTTGGCTTCATGTCCATTGGCTTTTCCTAGAATTGCATTACTGTGTCTTGAGAAGAGACCGCTAATTACGTTAGCACTTGTGCTAGCATCCCTCTGAACGGAAGCCATTAAGTCATTAAACAGTGTGTACCGCACACTCTGTTATTTCCCTCTCTGTTAATTAACCCCTGCCATACACATTCATGTATTCTTTCACATCAATGTCATCCAATCAGATTTAGGCTCTGCTGTACTCTAGACATGGAATAGTAAGTCATTTATGTCATTATTATTAAATTACGCTGGTCAGTTAAATCATGTGTGAATGCAATTTCAATGTATCTGTTCTGGTCTTTTAGTGCGTTTGAACTGTTTGTATATAAAGAGATTTAAATGATTGGCCAGTAGGTTGTTTTTGTTTTTTTTTTTATTCTCAAAATACTACTCAAGCCAAGAAAGAGAGAGAACAAAAGGAAACAAGGGAAAGAAGAGATAAAGACAATAAAAGTGTAGTAATAATAATAATCCAGATTCTCATGTAATGCAGCTTTCTGTAGCCAGGGTTCATCTGCCCTTTGCACACTGACATGTCTGAACATACACACACACACCACACATACACAAAATAGTCTTTCATTAGCACAGCTGTAAACCTGTCAGCTCTTGCTTGGGGGCAAAGCTGGATTTACAGAGAAGGGAAACAGACCTAAGGAAAATAAAAAGAGAGGCCAAAAGAGGGGTAAGAAATATAGAAAGGTATTTATTAAAGACTTCAACTTTAGCCTGAAACAAGATGTCAGCATTAAGAAATGTGCTTCAGGGAAATTTGTTTAAATACTGCCTGCTGTAATGAAAGTGCAGTTTAAAAACAGACAAGATTCAGAATTTAAAAAATTGGTTCAAGTTGGTTTGACATCAACAGGTAGCACTAAACTGGGCCACAACAGGGGAAAGATTTTGCTTCCAAATGGCATCAGACACAAAATGAATGCATAAACTTAAGAATTAAAGCAGCAGTTGAGAGAATTGACTCAGCAGAGTCAAAAAGAAACTGTAGAAGCTGTAATTGTAATTGTTGAAACTTTGTGGGCTTTGTAGAACAGCTTTTAAAGGAACTACTAAAGCTCTCTCCATCTATCACGGTACAGGCTGAGAGCACACTGCGTCCTCATACTGAGACCTCAGACAGATGCCTCACTGAGATCAGAGAGAGGGAGAGTTTCCCAAGCCACAGAATGAAAAAAAACATCTTTATTATTTAATGGAAATGAAACCTTTAGTACTTTGGGGGTCAAAAAACTAAAACTTGATCTCAGTTATTGCGAGGAGGTGTCTGTATGTGTGCGCAAGTGTGCAAGTTTTCTTTGTATCTGTAAAATACAACAGAATGACCAAACAACACATACATACTCACAAGCACCCACACAAACAGTATGATAGTTTCAGCACTCTTTCTAGAAAAGTGTTCTGGAAAAGATGCTTTCAAAAGCATTGTTTTTGGTCATTCAGTGCCTTGCTCAAGGACACAGCTGTGACTTTTCCAATTCCAATATATGTATATATCTTTTTTTCCTCTTTCTCTAATGGCTTTGGTAGCTTTTGTACAAACAGGTGCTGCTTCCTAACACCTGATCTCCTAGTGACCATAAATATTCATAAAGCTCTGTTTCTTGAGGTGTGTTCATGTCTCTGCATATGCTGCGGGGACATGTGTGCCTATCTTTGCGTATACAAGGGCACACCTATTTTTTAAATGTGCCTTAATTCTTTCCATATATAAGTGTTTTTCCTCTGCAGTGGGACACTTATTGAGCTGTGGCAGTGGCCATTCATATGATGCAAGGTTGAGTATATTAGCAGGATCAATAAGAGGGTATTTCTGGGTGAGGCTCCTCATGGCCAGCAGGCCTGTCTGGATCGATTTTCTCATTTTGGCTGCAGCATGCTGATGATTTGTTTACTAAAGAAATGATGACATTTGTCTTTAATTCATGAGCGGAGTCACTGGTGTTGAATTTGAGTACCAGACGCAGATCAAGAACAGGATCATGATACCTTGTCTGCGTGTTTTTGTGTGTGTGGGTTAGCGAAGGGGTAGCGTCGGGTTCCTGCTCTTAAGCTCAGTGTGCATCTGCATGTGGTATGAGGAGAGATCGGTTGGTCATGAGATGATGTGATGAGTTCACAACTAGACAAAGACGAGGAAGAATGAGAGTCATATCAGTAAAGAAATGGAGGGGGACAACTGGGCTTTCATCTGGGGTAAGAATAAGCCAGGAGCATTTTTTTTTTTTTAGCCTAATTGTATAGTAGAATAAGTTAATGACATATACAAAAATGTATCGGAGCTGTAATGAACTTGAGATGGATTGTGATTGAACTTCCTCCTTTTGTGTAAACCATTTGTTGTGACCTTCTGTTGTTAAATCAGCTCATAGTACACCTTGATAGTGCTGAACTTGAACTTTGAATTGTTGGAACACAGAAACCAAGACTGTATCTGCAAATCTGTGGCGTAAACTACATTTATCTTGTAGTCAGTTTGTTGACAATTAAGGTGAAAATGAGGCTGAAGTGTTGCATCAATACAGAAGAAAAATAAATGTCTCTTTCAAGGTCCTGAGTTTGTATTTAAGAATTTTTTTCTGAAAGCTACAATTTTTTTTCTCAAGGCCAACACACGCACTCACACTTGTTGCTATAACAATACAGTCATCATTATTGTATTGTTGGTCAGTGAGCAGTCCCATTAGAGCAGCTGGAGATCCGATTCCTTGCTTGTCATACTGTTGTTTACACAGTAGATATGGAGGGAAGGAGCAGTGAGCCTTGCTGGATTCCTCAGTTATTCCAAGTTAGTCTAGGAATTCAAACTGGCAATCGCATGGCTCAGTACATTAGGGATCTCACATGCTGTATGTAGCATTATGGATTGAAGTTGAAGCTGTGTGACCTACAGTTGGTCCTTCTGTGCTCCATGGCTTTACATTGAATTCTTTCCCCATTGATTTTCACAGTGCTAATGAATTTTCCTAATCCAAAATGATGCCTTGACTGTTAGGCTGTCCGTCCATCTGCGGTGACCATGAATGCATTCTTAGCTCTGAAAGACAGTGTTTGCTTTCACAGTGATGCAGCCAGTCACTCAATAATAGATAAACCACCACCTTTAATCTCCAGGACGATAGATGCAGGACATCTGACAGAATGTACCCTTTAACCCACCCCCAGACACCACCTTTTAGTCATGCCTTTGGTTTTTCTTCATGCAATAATTCCCCCTTTTCCTCTTTTTTTTTTTCCTCCTTTAGGATTGAAAAAACGTACCAGGAAGGCCTTCGGGATACGGAAGAAAGAGAAGGACAATGACTCCACGTAAGTTCTGATCCCCCTTCCTGTGTACTATGATCCAAACATAGAGCATATTAGTGCAGTGGAGCAGAGAGCTGGCTGAAACCTCTGAATTGGACAAATGTATTTTGAGAAGAAAAATTGATATATGGCAGCAGGTCGTGCATACACAAAAGAATGAAAGGATTAGAATAAGTAAGAACAATTACGGGATTAGTTTTAAGTATGGGTCTTGTCAAATAAATGTAAGGCTGCTGCTGCCATTAACTATGCACAGCTGAAGAGTCTAGAGTTAATTATGAGCCACAGTGGTATTTTGTGTGTTGTATTGTATTAGTTGATCTGTTAAACTGGCAGTATGACATGTTATTAAGGATCTATAAAATAACAAGCATACCTAAAATATCCAGTGCTTGAGACATTGGTTGTTTGCATACAGCTGAAATGATGTATGAAAATACAGCAGGATTAAAATAAGACTTAAAAGACCAATTATGTCCCTTATGGAGTGCTTCATAAGGTCAGCTTGCAGAATCTTTGTCAGCGTGATAGTTTTCCAGGGGTGTTTAGCCAATTTGTATCTGAGGACGAGACAGTTAGACTTACTGTAAAATCTTTCTGTGCGGTGAAGTCAGTGAGAGTGTGATTTGCAAGTGAATAAGTGTGTGGGTATGATGGTGTGAAAAGGTTTTCCTTGAATACCTCTCTTTCGGCTCAGCTAAATAGAAAAGCACTTGATTTCAAAACGAAGAGCCCACGTGTTAAATTGCTTTTATGGTCTCCTTTCTTCCCTCTTCTTTTTCTTTTTCTCACAGGGGGTCCCCAGACAGAGACGGGGGTGTAAGTAACAGAAAATGTTTAATATATATCAGCCAATTAATTAATTTCTAAATTACAATTCACTCTACACATAATAATACTTAAGGAAATCAAGTGTGGTGATTGTGAGGTACATTATTTATTTATCTTCTGTATTCTTTTTACTTGCCAGGAACCCCAAGAGGTTGAATCGGTACTGAACTGTAGTTTGTAGTCCTTTTAGAGTAGTTAGTAGACTAACCTCTAGAATAATTAGTCTAGAGCTTAGTTTGGTTCTAAACATTCATTGTTATTCAACTCATCAGTCGTCTGCCAGTGTTTCTGTTTCAGTTATCTTTTCATTAGCACACTTGAATCTTGAAATATTATCCAGCACTGTGGGACTGTTTGCAGCATGTTCATTAGTAACAAGAATCAGTGTCATTATTAGATCATTAGTGACCAAGCATGGTTTCATTTTAAGTCTGTTTCTGGAAAACAGAAAGATATTTATTTTGACAAGGAATTGCCAATGTGGAATGGGGAAAAAAATAAGGCCTGTAAGAGTAGGGGTGGGCGATATGGGCAAAAATTAATATCTCGTTATTTTTGGGGATTTTGGCGATAACGACAATCAGTCGATATCCTTGATTGGAAATGTGTGAGTTAGGGCTTGTGTCCACCAAACGCGTTTTTAGTGCTGAGAGCGCTCAAAAACTCATTTTCCGAGTGCCCAGCGGTGTTAAAAGTTGAACAGATTTCAACTTGAAGCGCTCTGAGCGCTGCACTAAAAAAGTCTTTTCGAAACCAAACCATTTCCATGCCAGAGAGGTAGACCCACGTCTCGGCACTAAATCATCTGAAGTACCGGTAGCTTCAGGGACTGGAGGTGCTTGCATTTTCTCTCTACCATCACAATGCGCTGCTAAACTGTTGCAAGGAGGATGCTAGCGAGAGGTCATGTGATCACGTCATGTGATCACGTAGGCCCACTAGTCGTGTGACTGAATCCTGCCATGCTGTAGAGAGCGTTGCTGCACCGTGTATTAAGTGGATGTGAGGAGTTTCCGAGTGCGTTTCAGTATTTTTGGCGAAGTAATTTAAATACTCGATAGTGGAAATTTGCATATTGTCAAAACAACAATGACGATATTATCGCAAACGATATATATCGCCCACCTCTATGTAAGAGGGAAATAGGAAACTTCAGTAGGAAGCAGTCTGACCAGAGTACACAGGATCAAGGTTTATAGAGAAGAATTAGTTCCACTGAATAGTTGCTAATGTAGACACATATCCAGTGGTAGCGCAGTAGTGCAGAATATAATGTACTGTCACCGTCTGGTAGGACTTTAATCAAAGTGTCCCTCTGTTCTCAGTCTCAGAAGAAGACCAATGGGGCCCCTAATGGCTTCTATGAAGATATCGACTGGGACAGATATGTAAGTAAAAGTTGACTGTAGGATTATTATTTTACACTGATTTTAAACAGTGTTTGGTCTGCACCAACTCACTGCTGCTTTGTTTACATTTGAACTGAATGAGCTTATTGTATTGATCCATGTTATTGTAAAATCAATGTGCTATTGACAAATTTGTGCACAAAGCATGTTAACAGTGGCTACAGATAGTTAATCAAGTTGACTGCTCACATATTACATCCTGATTATCACTTTGTCAATATGCATTTGGTCATGTTTTAGCAGGGAACCTAGCATTCATTATGATTGGAAGTCTCCATATTTGTGCTCTGAATATGTAAGCTGGAACTTTAACTGGGGCTTAACTGACCCACTGCTGGTTCTCTGTTAACATTGTATTCACATACAACTAATATGACAGCAGTGTGTTTCTGATAACATCATACAAACATTTAGAGATTTATTCTTACTTATTCTACTTTTCAGAATTCCCCTGAGGTGGATGATGAGGGCTACAGCATCAGACCTGAGGAGGAGTCAGAGGAGGGAGATATCCTCAACACTGCTTCATTTGTCATTTGGCAGAATTCATTTGTCTTATTTTATTTCTGCCAAGTTACTTTGTCTCTCTAAAAACTGATTGCTTCCATTGTTAGTGCAGGGTTTGTTAAATCGGTGCACACTGATTGGAGAGTAGTTTGTGTAGGAAGTCTCATTCACATGGGAATGTACTTCACCCCCTCCCAAATTCTACTGAGGCAAATCAGTGGAAACTAATTTATACGATCAAATATAATTTTGTATAGAAATCTACACATAAAAAAACAACACTTGACTTACAGTGATGATAAGTGCGTCAACTGCTTAACAAAGTGTCAAAACATCCAATTAACAAAGATCTAAATAAAGGTAATGAGGCGCAGCACATAACGCCGCTACAGAAAAATGAGTCATTGATGCGCCAGACGTGAACAAGAAGGTGCAGAGAAGAGTTTTAGAAGCCCTAGGACCTGTTTGCGAAGCGTGGAATTATCACTGTAATCAATACCCTGATTCCCCAGACTGTCAGCTCATTGAGCAGAGGTGACGCTCTGTTTTCTTCACCGTTTGTTATGACGGTGATACTATATTTATCACTTTGCAATTACCACCTCAGTAGGTTGAAAATTTGATCTGATTTTTAAGGGACACGCGCCTTCATCTTGTGGGCAGGCATGCCCAAATTTAATCCAGTATTTGCAGTGGGTCGTTGCTAGAAATGCATTACTTGTCACTCAATCCTAAAGTAATTTTTAGGTTTAAATTGGTATCTCGTCCTCCACTTAATCAGCCATGCAGAAAGGTTATTGTTGATTCTAGAGCAGAAAGACAATAATTGAAACACGACAACATTAAATTGTTTGAATCACATGTATGGACCATATCCATTAGGAAAAAATAGCAAGTTTTAAAGAGATTATTTTAGATTTTGGCAGTCACCCAGGTAATAAGGCTAGTTTCACCGGGGGTGTATTTCCTGAGTTTGGTAGCCCTGACACAATCACATAGTCGCCTGTTCAATATTTTCAGTGAAATGTCCTGGACTGTGTAAGGCAGAGAACTTTGCTTTCCTTGACACTGCACCACCGCCTATCACCAAAAAGCCCCACTTCTTTTCCTCTGATGAGTCGGAAGAAGAGGAGGACCACAGGAAAAAATTCAAAATCAAGATCAAACCACTGCCGGCCAATCGTGTAGTGTCGGTGCCCTCGGTCGACGAGCTCAAAGCCTCCATAGGCAACATAGCCCTGTCCCCGTCTCCTATGGTGAGTAGCCCTGACGTCACTGCCCTCTCAGTGCCAGCTGTCACTAACAGACAGCTGTGTATTGGTCTAGATGGTTATAATGTGCATGTGCAAATCACTCCTGCTGCTTATCTTCATCCCCTTTTAATATGTAGATATTTTTATGCACAGAAATGGACGTGCATGTATGTTTGTTCTTGCGTTGTCTTTGATATGTGATTGTTTCAGCTGTCTTATATACTGATGATTTTTCCACACTGAAATACTACAAGTTGTACAGCACATGCCGTACTCTATGTGTGTGCTAGTGTCTACTGAGCGACTATCTCTCTTCAGTATATTATTTTATTCCACCACCGTTTTGTTTTAACTGTTGATTGAAACTCTAAACGTGTCACTGCTTCACTTGTCTTGGGTCTCTACATGACAACAGAAGTAGTTTGTTTTAATGAGCCAGTATGCAATATGTGTGTATGTACTATCTACACTGAAATCACAATCCATGTCCCTGTAATGAGTGAGGTCAGGTTTATAGGATAATCTGAATGCCATATAGTTAATTTGTGATGCTTGTAATATTTGGTCAGTGCTGTCAGTGACCTCAGTGTTTAGTCCGGTGTAGTTTAACACTAGGCAGATGTCCCATCACAAGAGAAACCATCTGACCACGTACTGCTGCCAAATAGCAGCGTGTAAAGCTCTTGTTTGAGTCGATGAGTCCAAATTCAAGCACAAATCCCCTTGAGATGGCCTGTAATTAGCGTCAAGACCCTGCCTTTCTTGCTTCTACCCACACTTCCTATGTTTGTCAGTGAGGACAGTTAGCTTGGGTGTCCGCCTTAAATAATTTAGGTAGGAAAGTGGGCACAATGAACCTGTGTGTCGGTCTGCTGTACAGGGAGATTGCTGGTGGTCATTTGAGCTTCTGGACTCAATAATTTAATCAAGTTATCCTGTGTTCACCCGCTGGCTCTGTTAACCTGATCAGGTGTGAAGGTCTTTACATGGCTGATAATGGTTGTGAGCACATGCGCTATTGATAGGAGACTGGTTGTTTTTACCATTTCAAGGTTTTTTCCTCACAAATATGACTCTGAACCAATTAGTTGATCAACAGAAAATGAATCTGAATGAATTTTGTTTATGTGTTAATGGAAATTAATTAGCAATTGATCATTTGCTTGTTCCATTTTCTTAAATCAAAAAAATTGCTTCCTTTCTCAGTTTTCTGTCAGTCTGAAATGGATATATTTAAGTTTTAGACTTTTGGTTGGTGAAAACAAGCACTTTGAAGATATCACCTTTGACTCAAGGAGATTGTGTGTATTTTTCACTATTTCCTGACATTTTATTAAGCAAATGATGACAACAGATTACTTTATGTTGAAAATACACATAAGTTGAATCTCTTTTTTTTTTTTTTTTTGGTTCGGTTTTGGGGCTGTGGTGTTATCCAGATGTGTGGATGTTGATAAATTTTCCCTAACATGAAACACATATAATGCAGTCAAGTCACCTGAATGTTACCCTAGATCATGATATTGGAATTACTGGCCTGTAGTTGTGATTATGCAACTTCCGCCATCACATCTACCAGTTCAAATTAGCATCACGTTTGCTTGTGCCCAGCTTTTCCCCACACACATAAATTACATGAGTCACACAGTCACTCCCAGTCCCTGGCAACTCTGGGTAACCCTGGATGTGGACTGACAATAAAATGGTCTGATGAAAAGAGGAAGAGGGGCCAAATGTTAACAGGCCTCCAAGAGCAAACACCACTTCTTTCCACTTATTTCTAGTTCTTTCTTTTCCTTGAAATAATCAAGTAAATACTTTTCCCCCAGAGTAAAACATTTCTGACTTGCTCTTATTTTAAAAAACAAGACTCACAGTTGACAACAGCCCACAGCCATTTGAATATAATTGATATCCCTGAGAATAATAACTGAAACTTTACATTATAATGCTCTTTCTCTTGATGTTGGTTTCCTGCACGTAAATGTGACATTGCATTGACAAGCTCTTACCACAGCTTTGAAAAACCTAAAACACACAGCAAGTATTATGCATCGCTGGATTGTGAGTGTTTTATTTAGCAGACTGCATGAGCTTAATTTCTGCGGCAATGTTTGGCATATTCTGCATGAATTATTCATATGTACACAAGCTTGTGAGCGGTACATGATGATGCAGGTTAACAGCTTATTTCACATAAAACCTTAGCCACGATTCAGTGCTCACATCATGTTAGGAGGAGTAGTGTTTAATGTGTAGGTGGAGGAATGAAGGAACGACTGGATTCAGTGAATAGCTATAGTACTACACAAGCTTTATGTGTCTGTATTAATGATTGCAGCTGATTTAGCAACTCCCCACAGATGCTTTGCTTTGCGTTGCCAATGTTATTACGCTTTCCCCTCTTGTCTTCTAACTATTCCACCATTCTTTCTTATCTCTCGTTCCTTTGCTGCCTCTAATGGTGCTAACCTCTGTAGAGGAGTCCGGTAAGCCTTTGCTTTGCATGCTGTTGTGTTTTTTTTATCCTTTAGTGTTACAGTGTTACACTTTCATCCCTCTTAATGCTTGTAAATGTGTTTTCTCATAGTGTGTAACAACTATAGGCTATATTATTGGCCCAGTGTTTCTAGGGCAAATGCCAAATATTATGTCTTTTTTCTTGTGTGTGTTTCATTGTTTGTTATATAATAGACAGATTACTGTACATGCATGTGTGTGACTGCTCAGCATTTGTATTGCACATGTTGATTTCTTTGCCTGGTTACGTGGAGCACAAGAGCGCTGACTTTTAAATTGTTTCCGCTGACTAAGACATCTTAAATCTGATTTTAATTGGTTCTTGAGCCTCCAGTTCTCAGTCCAAATAACAAGACTACAAGCAGTAGAGGAGGCGTGGAAAAGGTCAGGATTGGAGTTCAAATGTTAGAAACTAAAAAAAGACATCTTACATCACATATTATTCCTCTCTTGTCGTATTGTCTACAAGCATTTCAACCAGAAAGGCTTAATTTGGAAGACATTCATTTTATTTTTCACCTTACAGGCCAGCTGACTCTCTGTTCAGTTATTAAATGTGTCATAGCCTTTGCACCAAAATCAAATGTTGAATTTCAATTCGATTTCAAAAAGACACACAGTGGTTTGAAGCGGCCTGTTTTAAACACAGCCATGTCTGTACACAACTATTTGAGTGTTAACAGTGATTGTTAATCCCTTACAGAGGCTAAAAGGTCACAGTGTGCGACTCTAAACACTTCCTGTTGTTCTTCCTGTTTACATACAGCCGGGAGAGGATGATTTGTTAAGACGAAGAGTGCTGCACTGTGTCCTGTACCAGTTTACCCAATGAAATGAATCCTTTCCACCAGCATGTCCCACCCCCTTGTTGCATCACTTTAATCACTCATGGCTCACTGCACAACTGGAACGAGCACAAGAGTGAGAGAGAGGGAGGGAAAGAGAGAGAGAGAGAGAGAGAGTTGATGCGAGGTGGACGTGACGCATGCAGATGGAGAGATTTCAGCAGAAATGAAAGAGACCAAGAGGCCAGATGGGAGACTACAAGGGGAAATGAAAGGAAACTCAAAAGGATTAGATTGCAAAAATGACATGGTTTTTAACAAAAATGGTCAAATAATGGGATGGGGCTGGAGACAGTTGAAGATAAAAGGGGGGGCAGGAAGAGAGGGAAGTGATTTCAACAGCTCCACAAGATATTTTGGATGCTGTCCAGTCACAGCAGGTTCACAGATGATATTAGAGATTCAAGCAAATATCCTCATTTATCTGGGCCTTGAATTGCTACAGTTTGTTTTTTCTCATCAACAGAAGACGGGGGCGTAGGCATGAGCACAAACACACAGATCGGTGTGGATAAGTCATCCTCAGTTGTCTCTTAATACCCTCTCCCCTTATTATCCAGGACTTATTGAGCTATTTGCATTTTTGCTCAAAGATCCTCTACATACTACTAGCAATTTCTCATAAAATCCAAGGCACATGATCACATAACGTCCCTCTCCATGGCCATGGTATCATCCTCATCCCCAAATCTGACCGACAAGGCCAGCATTCTTCTCCTGGTGCATATGATGTCTGCTTTACTGATTTGTCACTCTCTGACCAGGTATCTCTTCTCTCTTCCTTTTTGCTGGTCACAGAGACGTAGTCCGGTAAGTGTCCTTTTCATCCGTCTCCCTGGGGTAAAATGTTGCCACATGCTTCTTGTACCCTTTCTTTTGCTCTAACCTTGTCCTTGGAGTTGGTCAAATAAGACAGACAATACGTAGGTGGGTTCAGTGGCTGAGCTGATGGGTCAAAATTGTTATCTAACTTGTTTTGACAGTAATATTTAAACATATAAATAAATATAATATTTATTTTTTTCCCCCTCATTCTCAAGATTACTAGTGCACTTGTTTTTCATCTTGAATGGCTTCATGCTTGGTCTCTGTAGCGGGGGGGAATTTGCACTTTTGACAGCTGGACCCTTTGATGTCTTACTTCAGTCACTCCCCATCGCCGTGTCTTCTCATCTCATCTGCTCCCGTCTCTCCCCCGTCCCTCCCTCTCTCTCCTTATCTGCTCTCTGCCTTTCTTGGCCTCTTGTGTCACTCTCATGGTGAATTCATACATACGCTCATATTCACTCGGGTGTTTAAGATCACAGCCAGAGGTGCAATATTATTGTGCTGTTGCTTCTCCAACAACAAAACTCACTTCTCTTTTAACTTTCTTACACTCAGCCTCACACCTGCGCTGGTACCAAGGGCTTCTTGACTTCAAAAGCATGTTTTGAAAGCTTTCCAATATTTCTACTGCAGCAGCAGCAGTTCACCAAGTTGCCATTTTCTAACCTGATACTAACAATATTGTTAAATTTTGTTGTTATTTTTGGGAGTAAGTTACTCCTCTTGATTTAAACCGTATCCATACCAGCAGATATTTATATCAGATATCTGATATACAACAGCTGCTGAGAAATGTCTATGTCACATTTCAGTGAATGTCTTTTGTTTAATGAATCACGTATTAAACATTAGAAATTTAATTTATATAATCCTCAAAATGATTACTGTCATGCGGGTCAGCATTAGTCCGTGTGAATATGTTCTGTAGTTACACAAGGAAGACTTTGATAAGGTCAACACTAAAATGAAACTATTTATAGTGAAACTATTTATTTTATTCTGGATGTACTTAACGACTGCAAAAAGTATTTCAATGTGGGGGTGGCCTCTCTGTCTCGGGGTTAGGGCACAGACAGCTGGTAGGTCGCATCAGATTAAGTCAACCTGAGGCTGGAGTTTATCCTCTGACCTTCACCTTAGTGTACAGCCTACAACATTGTTCTTGTGTTTCCTTATTAAAAGAAAAGGTAGATGCCGTATTGTATTTTATATTTTACATTTTGTAATGGGGGCTCTGTAGGATGGTAGCATAATAGACGCAGGTCATTATAATTGATGCCACATTGTACTTGTTAGTGACTGCTGTTGACATTTTTAGGTTTTATGTCTTTGAGTAGTTAAATTTTACTGTCATTTTTTTCATGTTACAGGGTTTGAAAAGGAACACATCCAGTAAGTATCAGTCTCCTTGCACCTCCAGGCTAGGTTCTCTTTTAATGATGGTGTGATGCGAGAATCGTAAACGGATTTAATTATGGTTCCAGGTGAGGAGATTGCCAGACCGAGACGCGTCGTCCCTACTGTACCCACTGTGGCCCCCACACCAGCTCCAGCACCACAGCCCCCCAGGTATGTACCTCATGTTCCCTGCCACCTAATGTAAAGGTACTTCAATTAATGTATCATACTGTATGTGTCACTGCAGGTCCCTTCTCCTGTCTTGTGGCATTATGTTGTACTTTTACACCTCAAAATTTCTAATTTCTTTTTACTTGTTCAACCATTCAGTTTTTTAAAAAAAGCAGTAAGAAACAGATAGTCTTTTGTGTCGTAAAGCTGTGCAGTAGATTTGCTGTGCAATGCATTCTTTTTGCTGAAACTGAGATGGAAGTGATGGCCTTGGTAATGTTCTTGTACAGTAATTATAGTAATGTCTCCAAATGTACTCATTTATGGGTGTTAAAATGTTACATGTAGCTCGTCATGATCGTTTTTGAAAGGTGTCATTAATCCTGTCATGGTGTGATGAATTGGGGTGTTATGTCACATCAACCAGTGGAGCAACATCTTTATGCACCTGTTCAACCTTGCATTTGACGCAAGTCTTTTTAACATCGGTGCAGCTGTCTAGCTTGGTTTCATTGAGCAGGAACCCTTACTGGGATGTTACCTAAGTATTAACTGAAGTTAATCAAGTTTAGAACAGCAATAAATGTTGCTCAGTCAATCATGGTGCTTTTGACATAATGGCTGATGAACACTACAAGAGTTTGTCCAACCTCTGTCATCCAAACATAAGAAGTTTGAGTAAAAAAAATGGGTTTATTTTGCTGGAGGGCCACTTGAGGCTTTACTGAATCTTCAGAGCTGTGTTTGTCTACCCCAAAACACTGTGATGCTGTGTGTGCTGTGGGGATTTAAAAACATACTCTTCTAGTATGAATGCTTAAGTGTTTATAGTCGTATTCATACTTATTGGTCTACATATTTTTTTGTTCCCCTAGAACCACATATAATGTGAATAAAATAAACTACTAATAATTACAATGTAGCTACGTTGCTACATTTCACACACAGCCATTCATAATATCCCTGAAAACTTAAGACAACATCAGATAGAAAAACATGTATATTGTTTTAGGTACATCTGCATTTATTTCTTAAACATGTTGGTACTTTTTGATTCTCTGATACTGTTTAGTAACTTCATGCACAGTGTAGTTGTTCTTAAATTGACTTTCTGTGTCTATTGTGTCACACAACCTCTTTTCTTATTTTATCTTCTATAAATATATTTATACATTATGTTTTATGTTTGTTTGCAGCAGTCAACAAACACCTGTCTCTGAAGACACCACAGCCTTATTTGGGCCTCCTCTGGAAACACCCTTTGGAGAACCAAAAACTGAAGGTAACCCTCCTCCCTGTTTCTTTGTTACTCTGTGTCTCTTTACGCATCTCTGTTTTTGTCTTTGTTTTTGTCTCTGTCTTGGTTCTACGTTCTATGTTCGTGTTGATGGTTGTTACCACTGTTGTTGTTTTGTCATAATGTGAGCAACACAATGAGAGAGGTCATAGCAGATACCCTCTCTCTTCCTCTCTCCCCCTCCCCTAACCAATTTCTCTAACATCGTTTTCTTCCCTCAGGCTCACTGTGTAGTAGTGGATTCACTCCATCTGTCTTTGCTAAGGTCAAAGTTTAAATTGGCACTGGGAGGTCATGTTCATGTGCACAGTGCAGCTAGTTAATATTCAGATTCTGTTGTCACCCGTTCTCATCCAATCCGGTAGGACTTAGAGGCACATGCTGTGGGAGAGCTCTTAGCTGTTACGCAACTGCCATGTCAGGCTTAACTAACATTAACCTGACACAAATTCCCTTTATACATTCATTCTGACTAAAAAAACAACAACTCTGTGTGTGACACTGGAAACTTTTTACTTTCAAACTCACTATGGTTTTATCTTCACAAGATACTGTATAAGCAGCATGTTAAAGTTTATGAGTTCCTCTTAGCTCAAACTAATACAGTGTGATACAACAATCCTGTTATAAATCTGTTTTAGAGAGGTGTTGATTCAACCTTATGCTAATTTTTGGTAATGTAGTTTGTGGCTCGGTTGAACTGTAATGCATTCTACAGAGAGATGTTTCTGTTATTTAGCCTACCGTCATTGGTATAAATGGGGTTTGTAACACAATACATTTAATGGTACCGCAAACAGCAGCCTAAAAAATGACCATGCAGTTGAATAGACACCTCTCTTAAATATTATAACTTCCATAAAGGGAGGATTTATTGCAAGCATAATATATTAGACTGCTTTGGTTGTAGCTAGGTGTACCTAATGAACTCGCAGCTAGGTGTATATAATGTAGATTCTTTCAAAATGTATTCGGGAACCAGTTCAAAAATAAAACAAAATAATTAGATGGTGATTCAGGTAAATCCACTGAATTAAATGCCTGAAAATCAAGGCACTTCGTCACGTTAAGGCAACATCATATAAATCCATTATTTTCATAAACCTCTTATGGAACATTTATATAATATATAAATAAAACAAACAAAAAAAAACTTTTATATATGTATATATTGTATATATTACTTCTGGTATAACTTACATAACCAAAAAATACTAAGTTAGATTGCTACCTCAGTGTTAACAGTTTAACAACTCTCTTTCAGGTAATTAAACTCCCATGTGTTGTTGTATTGCTTAACCATAATAACCTAGAGCCGGGCTCTGATTAAGGTTTCTGCCTCTTAAAAGGAAGTGCTTGCTTATAGTGGGAGTTGTATCAATACTATGCTGAATTCCTAAAATGATAATGCTATGATACTGTGGCAGATAAAAAAAACAAGTGTTGACAAGTCACAAGTGGACAGATTTGTCGAGCAGCAGCTGTTGCACATTAGTTTTGATGTTGTTTGTGTGGCTGTCTTGGTCACCTCTGTGCCCAGTTTTTATTCTGCCTCTTCAGTTTGTGCGAACAGGGTTGTAGTCATGTCTTCAGATGTCAGCATCTAGTGCTCTACCCTGTATTCCACTATCATAGCAGCACAAAAATTCACTTGGCAAGGAAAGACATTCTAGGTGTTCTAGTGTTACAACACATACTGACTTGCAGTCTGCCACTGAGGCTGGGAATCTGTTTACTCTAATGAAAGATTTTATTGACATGCTGATCTGTGTTGTTCCCCTCTTAGGCCTATGACTTTTTTTTTAACCCCCAAAGAATCAGAACCCCTCAAGTGTTTTGGTTGTAATGCCCCTGTCTTGGCCTCTTCTGTCCCCCCCTGAAATTAGTGGTTCTGTCTGAGTCCGATGCGTGGGCAGTTCCTCTGTCAGAGCCTGAATCCTCTTTGACAAGATCCTTCCCTGCAGGAAGTAAGTTTTATAATTGCCTGCGTACTGTGCCACACCTCCTCTTCTGCCTGGAATGACTGCACAGCTCCATCAACTCACCCCATGAAACCCCTCATCATCCGACTAACAGACAGACCTGCAAGCTGACCCCATCAAACATCAGTGTGGCAATAACACTCTGCTTCTCTTTAAAAACAGCCAGCTGTAACCTGTTTCATTTCGTCAGCCATTTCACCACATGATTCAATGTTGGTTATTGTTTATTCTATGGGAGATTTCACTACCTGTCTGCCATAATGCACCATCCTGTCCTCTGTCGCTGCCTCCTTCTCGCATTTTGCATGATTTTGACTGAATGTACAGTGCTGCATGGTTGATGATTTGTAGGCTGATTCCTTCTCTTCAAGTTGTTGTGCTTGTGTTTGGCAGGTATGATAATACCTGTCATATATGGATGTATCAGTAATTTGTGTGTTATAGGCTAGTCCATGAAACAGTACTTTTTTTTTTGCATTGTATGCAGCCCACTATCAGTGACATGAAAAGTCCATTCAGTTCATACAAACATTGCCTAATCAATAACCACCGATCGTTCATTAGGCACTAATCTCCTGAAGTTACCTGTTATAGGACCATTCATTGTTGCCTTGATCATTTTATTGCAGCTCCACCTCCACTCCCACCCAAGAACGTTCCGACCCCCCCCCCCCCCATCGACTGGCCCTCCCTCTACAGAAGACGCTGGTAAGAAGTCTTTTTTTTTTTATCTATTTCTGCCTCCTGTTATATCACAATGTCACCTCAGGATAAAACAAACTTTTACATTTGATCTTCTTTATCTCCAACTTTGTGTCTCTAACTTTCTCTGTCTGTCTGTCATGTTTTATCTCTGTGTAAACATACGGAGCACCCCTGCAAACATGGCCTTTGATTGGTCAGTGCTTGTCTGTGTTTCAGAAGTGTCAACAGAAGTAGACGGCTCCACCAGAAAGCCCTCAATAGCTGACTTGGACAACATTTTTGGACCAGAACAGGCTCCCCCTGCTGGCGAGGATACAGGTGAAACGTGGGTCTGCTTCAGTGAAGAATCTGCTGCCCGGCCGCCTCTACCAGAGGAACCTGCACCTCCACTACCAGCCTCCCCGCCTCCACCTGAATCTCCTGCCCCACCCTTACCTACATCACCACCTCCTCCAGAAGACCCAGCACCACCTCTCCCTACCTCCCCTCCCCCAAAAGAAGAACCTGTACCCCCTCTACCAACCTCCCCACCTCCCTCAGAGGAGCCTGCTGCACCTCCTGTCCACTCAGGTCCTCCTACACCTGAGGACCGAAATCCGCTCACACTCGCCACATCTCCACCGCCTGCACCACCAAAGGAGCTTGCGTCTCCTCCCGCTTCCTCTCCCCCTCCTCTCGACTCACCAGCCAGCATCCCACCAGCCCCTGCTCCGAAAGCAAGGACTCCTCCTGCTGAGGAACCTGCAGCAAGCCCCGTCCCACCACCTCTTGTCCTGTCTCAAGAGGAGCAGTCCAAGAACACAGACGCCCCCCAACTCAAAGAGGACGGAGGTGAAACAGTCCCCTCGCCACATGATGCTAGCCAGGGTAGCCGGAGTACACCTCCCCCACCTCCTCCCCCCACATACCGGGCTGTGGTGTCGTCACCGGGTCCCACATCTGGAGCTGGTGGCACGAATAGCGGTGAATAGTCTTTTAATTTAAGTGGGATATGGGTTATAGAGGATAGGTTTCTTTAGAGCTCAGACTGGTGGAATGACTCCAGAGGACAGTGATTGATTGTCACACTCACACAAATGGAATTGTGAAAACACAGAGACAGTTTCTAGGTCATCATACTAGTCAGGTGACTTGTAATAACGATAGCATCAATCGTTTTGACTGGAGTTTAGAAGGGATTGAACTTCCAGCATTGCGCGCATCTGAAAATTTCCTTTCAGTTGATTGCACCATCTTTGTTGTGAAACTTGCACAAACTGAACCTTGTTTCTGTTTTTTTATCCCTGGAAAAGAGGTCATGTTTTGGCCCAGTTGGATGCACATCACCATTTTACTGCAGAATTATGTTGCATTAGCAGAGATTGTTGTTTGACTGACTCGTAGTTCAAGGCCAGACTTCATTTGGTGGAACATTTTCATTTTTATTGCACATACAGTGTCTTCAGTAAAGGTTGTCAAGCAGTATCACTGAATCGAAATGCCTCTACCTTTTAGGCTTTTTTTAAAGTAATTTCCCCCAGGGATTATTAAAGTATTTCTGATTCTGATTAAATGTATGATAATTTCAACTGTCCATTATGTAGGAGACAAAAATCTTTTCTGTAAAACATTAATGAGCCATGGACCAAAAGACAGAATACATTATTATGTGAAAGAGTAGTCTCAATGCAAGGCAGAACACAAGCAAATTAAAATTTAGTCCAGTAGTTCTCAGAAGAAAGTGTGTGAAACAATAATATGAAAACTTTAGTCTGTATGTTTTGTTAAAATGAAAATCAAATTTATGTTTGCAAAAGTGAAACTACATACAGCCCTTGTGTATACTAAAATATTACATTGTATGCATTAAAAATGCTTGCATGTCCTGCTTCTATCACCTTACATACTGTTCCACACTGTTAAGCATTTTTAGCTGTTTTTAACTGCAGTTTTATTAACTGATCCCCATATGTTTCTGTTACGCTCTGCAGGTTCCTCCTCCCCGGTGCGACCTGCTACTCCTTCTTCAGTCAGCCCCACCCCACCACCACCTCCACCTCGCCCCCCTTCACGGCCCAAACTTCCTCCAGGGAAACCCACTGTAGGAGATGCTGTAAGTATATCAAATTCTCACTTCTAATTGATATGGTTGTGTTTTTGTTTTTTTGACACTGTAAGAACTGAGACTGACCACCAACTGTTGATGGTTAAATGTGTTTACCAAAAACTTAATAAGCAATGGTATGTGTGTAAGATGCATAAACATTAAGCCTTAAAACGTCCTTTTCTATTTCTTTCACTCTAATCTGTCTTTCTCCTACCATCTTTTTATCTTTTCAGAATCGTCCATTCAGTCCTCCGGTCCACTCTGCCAGCCCCCCTCCCATCGCCCCATTGGCACGGGCCGAAAGCACCTCCTCCATCTCCTCAACAAACTCCATGAGTGCCGCCACCACCCCCACCGTCGGTAAAGAGCTCTCCGTGTCCGTGTCAGGTGTGTTTTCCTTCAACAGTCACTGAGTTGTGCAGCCTGTCGTCTGACGACTGTGGTCACAGCAGTGACAGCTGAATTTAACTGTTCCTGTCTAATATTAAAAGTTTCTTATTGATTTTATGCACTGGCCCTGTCCTTCCTTGTGCTCAGAGATTGTGTGTATTCTTTTATTCATGTTTAAATTTACTTTTGTCTTATTTTCTGGAAATGGTGACTGTTTCGTGGCAATGATGGTCCACTAAACGATGAATATCAGAGATACAATGCCAAAACCTGTTGTGGTATCTAATTATCATACATCCCCATGTAAGCTTTTACCATCGGGACATTGATTGAAACAAATCTGTAAAACATGACTACAATCGTTTGTATCTGGATTTCTATTCATTTAAAATAGGAATGAAGTACTCCTAAAGATCATTTTGTTGCAATGAATTGTCAAACTGCACATAAATATTGTGTCTGGTTTAGGTTGACACACAGACAGAATTCATATTTACATTCCCCCATACACAACGCAGTATGTGTGGGAGGTGAGAATGTGAAGCAGGGTGTTAATTTTAAAGCACAAACCTTCCCTTAATGAATTAATGGCACAGCAACAGTTTATATTCCTTGATTTAACTTGAGCGCCAGTGAGGACCTTGCCATGCAGAGCTGTGAGTGGATGATAGCAAATCTCAGTAGACTGTAACATGGCTGAGTCATAATAGATTTAGAAAATACACACTCTGGAGGCAGCAGCAGTTACATAAAAGCAGATTATAGTCCCTCGTTGGAGGTTGCTTTTTTAAACAGATTGCAGGGACAAACAAGAAGTAAACAGCTTCACTAGAATGTTCGAGCATAACATGACAAAATATTATTTCATTGTCTCTATTACTGACAGTAATATAAAAGTGACAGAGACGGTTTTCATTTTAAACGGACCCATTCCAGTTTGTGCTTTTTAATTTGCTCCATTTTTTTGTTTTTTGCAGTTTCATTTTTGTGTGCATGACAAATACATTTCTGATTTTTATTTTAAATTATTATTTTTTTCCTTCCTGTTTCTTTTCTTTTTGCCGTTTGTTTGTCTCTTTATTTGTCCTTTTGGCTTGTCAGAAGACGATGCTTATGTAGACAAACTACCCACCTTTGAGAGACACTTTGATTCATTTGCAGGTATAGTAACGATCCTCTCAAAGAGAGGAAAGGGGACGGGATGGGAAAGGGATTTGAGGAGTGTTCCTGTGTCAGTTTGATGTTTGATGCTCTTTACCCAGAGTGCACTTGACATCGAAGGGTAAAGGCCATCTCTGAGTGTTTTTGTGCTTTCTTGATTGTCAGTCAAAAGGTGTAGGTATTGGAACAGTGAGACTTTTTTTTTGGGGGGGGGCTTTTGTCCCACATTCTGGCACAGTTTTAGAAAGCCTGTTTCTAAGCCTCATGTCAATCTTTTCAAATAAAATGCATCTCGATTTGTGAGATGTAGAAAAAGACCATATATCTGTGTCACTATCCCAATACCTACTTATTTGACTAGTCTCAGGTTTTCAGGTTTTGCTCACAGATGTAGGGACATACCACATTTTTTTTTTCTTTTCAAAGGCAGCATTTTTCACTGAAATCGCCATTTTTCTTCATTGTTTTGTTCTTGCCAACCCATGACTCCTTGCGCATTTCCCAAGCATTTAATAGAACTGATAGCCCCTCTCTCTCATATCGTACTCTCTCTCATTCACCCACAGAAAAAATCTGCCAGAAAAAAAATGAAAGCTGTGGTGACACAAAAAGTTGCATCTATTGCATAACTTTTTTTTTTTTTTTTTACAAAAAGTTTTGAGTGTCTTCCCATTTGGCCATCTGCCTGCTCGTGAGACTTTTCTCTCTGTTTTATGACTGTGCACCAGTGGCTGTCTCGCCATGTCACCATGGCAACCTCCTGTCTCTTCTCTTGGCGACCCATATTGTGTGTGTGCAGAGTGCAGTGCAGTCACTCCCAGATACCTTTACTCTCAGTCTGCACCACAAAAGTGTGTTTAAGTGTTTATGTGCTGTGTGTTCATTAAGCATGTCTGAAGAGCTCCTTATCGGTGGGCCCTTGAGATCCATATTGTCTGTCTTTTCTCTCTCACGCACCCTCAAACACACACTCTCACGCATACTGTCAGATCACACGGCCGTTTGAAGTCTGGCATGAGAATTAGGCTGAATTAGTCAGGCAGCAGCTGTTTGGTATTCATGCCATCTTTCTCTCCACTGGAGTAGCACGACACAGCCACAAGTTCAACCAATCTCCACTGGCCTCAAAGCCTCAGTCTACTCCCACACTCGACCCCTGACGCCCACCTTTCACACCTGTCACTCTCGCACTCTTCAGCCATACAAAAATGCGGCCCCAAACCCCGCCCTCTCCGTCTACACACCTGCCCTTTTGTTCTCTTCATGAAGCACCGCTCTCATCATTCCATCACCCAGCGCTGTGTTAGTCCACTCACTGGTCAACAACACACCTTTACGGCTGGGACCCCCCACATCAACACAATAATATGGACTAGAACAAGCTAACCCTGCTCTGCCAGGTTGAATGCCAGGTTTTTTGTATCAAACTGAAACTCTGACATGAGTTATGTGTTTGCTGCATTTTTATGTCCCATATAATAGTTATTTAGACAATCATAATTAATCAACAATCCCTGGTATCCCAGTTCAGGGGCTGGATCCTCCAAAGTATGAATTGACCAATCTAACGATGATCATCCAGGAAAGTCTCTTTTGAAGGTTGCTCCAAATGCAACTGAGAAGTGAGGGCTTCTTTTGGCCAGAGTTGAAGGACAGAAACATCCTGTAATCCACCGATTCCCAAGCTTTTTGTCCTGTTTGTCCTTAAAACAAAGCCACAATAATTTTAGCTTCAAATTGTTGTTCAAATTATGTATTATGTTCCCAAGAGGCTAAAACTATTCAGTATTTTACATGGAAAAATTGATTATCAGAATCAGAATTGGGTTTATTGCCAAGTAGGATTTCACATACAAGGAATTTGTGTGTTACAATAAATATAGAGATATAAATAAAGATAATGCTAGAGACAATATATACAAATATAAAAAGAGATCCAATATGCACAATATAACCATTTTTAAATAAGTAAATAAAGGTGCACAGTTTTCAGGAATGTACAAAATATTGTTTAGGCTATGTGCAATTTAGCAGTGTGACATATAATGAGCTTCCAATGTGCAAGCTATTAGGATTATTAGAGAAAACATGATAATCTGTAGAAGAAATACATTTGTGTTTCTGTCTAAGCACATTAATCATCTCATGACCTCTTAAAATAATCCCAGAACCCTTTCTGGGGATCCTGACCCACAGGTTGGGAACAACTGCCATAACGCATTGTTCAGTGAGTGTTCAGACAATCTATCATAGGCTCATAAATTCATAAGGTCATGAAGTACAAAATCCTTTTCACATTTTATTAAAAAAGTGTGCTGAGTTGGGCATCCGTTATTGATAAATTTCTCTTTTTGAATCTACCTTTTCATTTGCCCTCCATTTGTACACTGCAGGATCTAAATAACATAATCCAAGTCACAATTTTATGGACATGTTACCAAAAGAGTGCTACTGAAAAATGAAAGATGTATTAACATATATAGCTTACCATTAACATGGAATCCTTTTTTCGCCTGTTGTCTATCATACGTAAACTGAATCAACAATTACTCTAAACCGAGGAGCTTGTTTTGTCAGCCATTTGCAGACAACTTCTTGGTGATAAACTTGAAACTGAAGTTTTCCCAGGACTGTCTGGACACACTGTTTGTTTTGTCTCTGCATACATCGTTTGAGTCCCAACCACGAGGCTACAAAGGGGCCCCACTTGGTACACTTTTTACCAGTTGTCCATCATGTTTTGAAGGGAAAGTAACCAACATATATACCCATATATAAACCCAGAAACCAGTCTAAGAGTTCAACCCTGGTTCCTGCATATTGCTTGCTGGTTGAGGTATAGCACAATAAACCAATATTGACTTATATATCAGCCCAGCCAATTTATCCATGTTTAGCTCTAGTTTGAGGGAAATCTATTTGTGATAAACTTGGAATGACAGTTAACCAGGACTGTCTGAATGCACTTACTTTTGGTCTCTGTGAGGCTAGACTGTCTCATTTGTAGAGCTAGGGGCAGACCTTTCGGTCTTTTGAAGGATCCACCTTCATTGGTCCTCTGGAGGATCCAGCCCCCGGAATTGGGACGCAGCATCTCTCTGTGCACCAACCACACTCCCTCCTTCTGCCTGCTCTCTGGTCTTAGTCTCATGGCTGCCCCCTGCAGTGTGTCTTTATACAGCAGTGTGCTTCCATCTGTTTCATAATTTGAAAAGTGGAGGCCTGGAGGAAAATGTGAGCACAGTAAGCCTGAGAAAGTTAAACCCAATATGAACAATCTGCCACTGATGAAGAAAGTAGGGCCAGTTTTTCAACGGACTCCTATTGCTACTTAAATGGTTACAATTGGAGCATCTGTTGGTGTAGAATCATCATTTTATTATGTTTCATTGTAGAGAAAATATTGGCTGCAGCCCCTGAAACTGGCAACACACCAAACTGTCTCCTCCGGCAGTCCCCCTGTCAAACTCTACACCCCCGACCTCCTCTCGCCTGTGATGCACATCTTGCATATTGATTGCATACCACTGCCAACATCCAGCAGCACACACCTGGCCTCTCACTCCACCTCACTCCTACCTGTCTTCACGCACGCAAGCACCCACAAAAGATCCGTCAAACCCGTGTTGTCACATGTTTTATCTCGGCTTGCCGTGGCCCTCTGTCCCCTCTTCGTCCCCCCGGCCTCCACCTCCACTTTTCACCTCACTGTGACGTGTGATAGACCTGCCATGTGAGACTCACGCTACTGTCCTTCTCTCCTTCCCCCTCTCACCCCTCCTCACCCACTTCCCTCCCTTCCATCCCTCTTCCTCCTCCCTGCTCCTCGTACCTTTCTCCCGACCCCGCCTCCCTCCTTCCTCCACCCCTCCACCCCACACAGAGAATGACCAGCCATCCCTTGTATGGTTTGACAGAGGGAAGTTTTATTTAACCTTTGAAGGTAAGTTTTCTCTGCACCAGGGTAGAGTGCACACACACGCTTATGAGGCTCATTTGTGCAAGCTTCGCCCTTCCCCTTCCCTTTTTTTCCTTCCTCCCTCCCTTCTCCTCCTCTTCCTCCTTTGCAATCTCTCCATCACCCTAACCAGCACCATGCTAACTCCTGGCTGAGCCCCCTCATATGCAGTCAACTTTGCAGTCTTGCCGTCCTCTACCTTCTCTTCCTGACATTGTTCATTCTCATTTTGTCTGCGTTGACCGCCTTCCATTCACTCCCTGAAGACTCACCGTTCTTCATGTGCTTTACTAATGTCTTTGTCGTCACTTTTGTCCTATTGGTCCTTTGGTTCTTGGACTGTCTGGTCTTTTTGATCTTGTCAGAATAATTCAGCTTCAACAGCATGTCTGGAATAAGCATGCACATCTCTCTGTCTCTCACTCTGTCTGCTTCTTGTCTTTCCTTTCTCTTCTACCTGTGCTTATTCAATTAAAAGCAGATGCCAGTGTGTAACGTAGTGTAGACAAATTCATACACTCGAGGGATATATTTGAAGTAATTGTGTTTAATTCTACAATTTCACCGTCAAAGAGCAGAGAGAAATGGGTATCCTCTACGCACATAACCTGCTGTTTCCATGTCACCTTACTAACACCAATATTTGTTCTCATTTCAAATAGTTTTTCATTTAATCACAGTAGTTTGCACACCATGTGTTGTTCCTCATTTCATTCACACTATTGGTTAGGAAGAGTGTAGAGTCCTGGTTCCTAATCTATTAACCCCCTGTTGACTGCTGTGTATTTTACACTGGGTTGAAGCAACTGTACATTGATGTGGAATTCAGTTCAGATCCCTATATGTGTGTATGTCTCGCCCTATTCTACTATTTTAATGTCTGTTTGTGTGTCTGAATGCGTGTGTTACCTCCAGGCTGCTCCAGAGGGCCCAGTCCTCTCACCATGGGGGCTCAGGATACTCTTCCTGTGGCGGCTGCATTCACAGAGACGGTCAACGCCTTCTTTAAAGGAGCTGATCCCAGCAAGTAGGTCAACAAATAGCTTCACACGTTCTAACATATGTGACATATATGTCATTACTTATTACAGTAGAAATAACCAAATTCATGTGGCTTATGTGAAAGGAGTGTTTTCATTCAGTTTATACAGCAGCACCGGTTCTTAAAGAGATGGTAACACTAACAATTCTAACTTCTCCTACAGTATGAATCATCCACAACGCATGTATAAACACTTAATGAATGACAGCTGCAATCATATAAGTATCCTTATACTCATGGACAAATCTTGTAGAGCATTATAAAGCTGTTATAAACAGTTCACATGTACACATCATTCACAGGTAGGAAGAAATTGTGTAAAATATGTAAATTAAGCAACAATTTGTAAAATAATTGAATCACTCAAACTACCACCCTCTCACCATCCAAACTAAACTCTGCATCTCTTAAATATTATATAAGCTCAACAGCTGCAACCAAATTCAGCCGTTAGCTTCGGTTAGCTAGAGCAACAACAGGCTGCTGCTGTAAATAAACACAGTAACTGAACTTCTCCAGCTTGTAAGCATTATCTTAACAAAGCAACACGCTACCTAGCTCGCTAGGATGGCTTGTGAGCTTATTACTCAGCATCAAAGTGACGTTTTGTTTGTTAGCACTCTTTGCAAACTCCTGCTGGCTTGAACATGCAATGGATAAAGTATCTGGCTTTTTAATCTTCACAGAGTTTTGTGTGTTTATCTGAGGAACATCTTGGATTCAAAACTCTCGCCAAGATAACTCTGAATCAAGTAGTTAGCTGCTGCCATTAACTGTCTCTTCACTTTAATGCTAAACAATAATCCAAGCTCACAATCCTGCCTAGTATTCGCTAGTTATGAAGGTAGCACATGCTGCCTGGTTATGCAAAACAACAACAACAACAACAACAAGAGGTTAGTTTCTGTGTACTTGTTATTGCCCTTCTACAGGGCTGGCTAATTCTGGTGGTTTTGTCTACTTTCATCTGTTGGTTGAATGTGCGGTCACATATTGAGGAAAAACTGAGAAATCAACAAAATAAGTGTGTACAGTATATGAGAAGTGTCTTTTTCTCCAGTCTTTACCTTCTCTGTTTCTCTAACCCAGTGCTTGTCTTCCTCTTCCTCTCAGGTGTGTTGTGAAGATCATAGGTGAGATGGTTTTGTCGTTTCCAGCAGGAATCACGCGGCACTTTGCCAATAACCCGTCCCCCGCCGTGCTAACCTTCAGCATAACCAACTACAGCCGACTGGAGCATGTGCTACCTAACCCCCTGCTCCTCTGCTGGTAATGACACCGTTGTGAACTCACGACCTCCCCTTCACTGTCAGAAAAAAATAATAAATACACAGTTTTTCACCGGAGGCAGTTTAAAAAGATCATAACTTACTGCATCTTTCTCACGTGTGTAGCTCAAGTCTGAATGTTTGATTGTTCAGTTTGGAAATTCACCCTAATTAATTATGAGTGTTTATAATTTAACTTAATTCAAACCAAATCAAATTATCTTACTTAAATTGTATTAATAATATTAATTTCCTTTATGTTGAATCAGAATGAGTCACCACCTTTTTTATATTTGTAAAGTTTAAATGTCAGTCAAAGCAGACTCTTGATCAACTGTTTGTTTCCAATTCATCCTGTATTTTTCATAATAATCGTAGTGTGTTTCATCGTCGTATTAATAATTGTTTCCACGCAACAAATCCTACTTATCACACTTAATGGTATGTTATACTGACAGCAAACTACATTTATATAGCACATTTCATACATGAGGATGTGTTTTATATATAAAATATCTACTAGCAGAGATTTAGATATGACAAAATGCTCTGATAAATGGCTCATAAAGCATTCATAATCCCATATGGAAGAGTTTGGTTGTTCAGTGATGACCAGTGAGGATGAGTAAACTTTAGTGAGATCATCTCAGACACTAGTGCTGACTGCGTATTGAGTCATTATGAGGTCATCTCAGTTTTCAGACCAACTACCTTCAACAAAGGTCGGCTTTTTTTTTGGTTTGTTTGTTTATCGTCCTCGGTTAAAATTAAATTACATTATTGATTCATGTTTGTACCTGTTGTAAAATACTAAAGAAACCACTTACTTGAGACCCATGAATCACATTTTAATGTTTATAAGCTAACCCAAATCATTACTCATTGGCACTGAAAGTATATTGCCTTATAGCAGAATAAGTATTGCTTTTACTTAATTATAATTCATCACAAATATAAATAATTTCTAAAATGTCATCCATAAAATGTTTATTTTAGATCCTGTATAGTTGTTGTAAAAATCCATGTAAAGCCTGACCTCTTGTGGCTTGTTGTTAAAATTAAAATTCTGACCAAGTAGGTCAAACTCATCCAGTGAAACTAAATGTTGCAAATTTCCAAAGTCATTAAATACTCAAAAATATGTTTGTTTTTCTGGTCAAACATAAAGCTGCACTCTAGGTTAGACAAATCACCAGAATCTTATTAAATATCTGTGTTTTGATTGTACTTTTCTGCATGCTTCCCCCACCAGCGACACCACCACACAACCCAAGGCCGATGCCAAGGACTTCTGGGTGAACATGCCAAACCTGATATCACATTTAAAGAAGGTGGCAGAGCAGAAGCCACAGGCAACATACTACAACGTGGACATGCTCAAGTATCAAGTAAGCTCTGCCCTCTGGCATAAAGTTGCACAACAGCCATTAAATCTTCCACTATCATCTGGGGTTTTTTTGGCGGTGTTTAAATGAACTTTAGGAATAGCTTGATGTTGTGTTGGACGAAATGCCCTGGCATTATTATAAGTCGTGCCTCTGCATGTTTTCTATCTATGTGCAGGTGTCGGCGGAGGGCCTTCAATCGATTCCTCTGAATCTAGCGGTGAGCTGGAGGTGTGAGCCGACCAGCACTGACCTGCGGATAGACTACAAGTACAACGGGGAGGCCATGACGATGCCGATGGCCCTCAACAACGTCCAGTTTCTCGTCCCCGTCGATGGAGGGGTTTCGAAACTACAGGCAGTCTTACCTCCTGCTGCATGGTACATTCTGAACTTTGTTATAGTGATAAGTACCAGTAAGATTAGTAGGCAGTATACAGTTTGTAAACTGCTGTATTATATAATGGATATATCAAGAATTACAGAAATAACTTAAATTACTTTAATTTTCGTTATGCTGACTGTAAAAAAAAAATGAAAATGCTTGTATTAAAATCATACAAATGATTAGTGTAAAGTGCACACTTCTGTGAATTGTTGCTACAACATATGTGTATATAGTAGAAGAAGATGGTTTGAATTTTACTTTCAGTTCTTCTTCAGACGCTTCATAAATTGTTTTTTCTGCCCTCTTGTAATCCGGACAGGAATGCAGAGCAGCAAAGAATCCTTTGGAAGATTCCTGATATCTCACAGAAATCTGAAAACGGAGGTACGTACAGTAATAGAAAAGTAACACACACCATTTTAGTTATATTAATATTCTTTCAGGTTAAAGGCTTTACACTTTTGGTGACTGATGCGAGGGTCTTGCTTTTAGTTTTATGTTTGTAAAAGTCAGACATAATCCTTATTTGGACTCCTGAGCAAGATTTTTCTTGTACATCTTAACTGACTGACTCTGAAGAGTCACTTACCTGGAGACTGAACTGGTTTTCAGAGAAATAACAGAATTATCTATAGCCCTGGTAAAAGGTTTCTGTACCTATAAGCATAAGAGAACATAGATAAGACAAGCATAGATAAGAGCTAGACGATAGAAATACGTTAAGGTTAAAAAGTACATACAGCCTAGACATTGTTCTTATCTTACCTGAGTTATGTATTGTGAGTTTCTGCAGGCATGTAGACCTGGACAGTTTTATACACTGACCTAGAACCTGCACTAGGAGCCATGAATGCAGCTAAACAGGTTATTGGGGGGAAAGTAGTACATGATGCACCTCAGGAAAAGATGGGGCCCTAGGTGGTTGTCAGCTTTGCCAACAGTGCGCCCTTCTGTCTACAAACGGTATTACAGTTACTTCAGCAAAATAATATTTACAAATATTTCCAGCTGTTAAAGCATAGTTTTATTTGTGTATCTGACGTCAACTGATGTATTTTAAATTTGTTGGCCTGTTTCATATATTACAAATCATATTTGTAGACTTTTAGTAGTTACCTGGCCTCCAGAAGGACAGTAAATTAGATTATATATTTTCTTTAAGAGGCTCCAACATGATCAGTTTAGCTCTGCTTCTTCTGAACATGCATTGATAATGTGATATATCTGGCCTCACATATGGTTGATCTTGATAGTCTCGGATGATTTGTAATTTTCTTTTCAAGAGAATCTCATTCAGTGTTTTCTTGAGCAAACATTTTGACAGGCTTTTATACAATAGCATTTTGGTAATATTTTGTGGTTGAAAAGTTAAATAAAGCAACGTCTGTAGTTGTCTAGCTGTTACCAGCATATCTTTCTGCTATCTATTCAAAATAGTTTCCAAAGCTGTTCACTATTTTGTTTTTTACAATGCACGACAAAACCCCTATTCCTTCAGTTAAATCATTCCTTGTGGCCAACAATTTCTAAATTGGCGCTCTCCCCACAGGTGTGGGGTCATTGTTAGCACGCTTTCAGCTAACAGAAGGCCCCAGTAAACCAGCTCCACTGGCAGTGCAGTTCACCAGTGAGGGCAGCACTTTGTCAGGCTGTGACATTGAACTGGCTGGGCCAGGATACCGCTTCTCTCTCATCAAGAAGAGGTTTGCCGCAGGTCAGTTACCATTTCAGTAATAACATATTCGAGATATTTTCCAAGTAAAACGTCCTGTAAATCAAACCTTTGTAAATTGATAGTGAATTGTTTTTTTTCCAACTAAAATCCTTTTAAGTTACATTTTTAGCCCAAAGTGCAGCCAAAAAAGATTTATCTTATCTTCTTCTTATTTCTGTGCTACAGTATTTGTTAATTTATTGTTGTATGCATTCAGATAATTGTAATTACCTCTATCATTATGTATTGATGCAGCTTGTACTTACTGTAGTAACTGTGTCTGAGGTTAACGATAGATCTGTAAAAGATCCGTAAATGACTGAAACATAACCTAAACATTTCGTTGATGCGTTTCAGGAAAATACCTGGCCGACAACTAACCCATGCTACTGAGAGCAGCAGTGTTGAACAAAACAATCGCAGTGGACTGAGGTTGACACCGAGGACAGAGGACAAACCAACACCAGGCAGACTTTCCATTAACCTTTTCTGAACCCACACGACAGGTCCGCAGCCTACCCAGCAGTATTGTATAACTTGCATATAGCATCGTGGAGCTGTTTTAGGTCATGTAATTATCGTATTTGTATTCATTTCATAACATCCGTATTGCTGCAGTTAGACACCTGGGTTCTTCCTCCCTCTAAAGTCTGTGCCTCTGTCTCCATCATCCTTGGGTCAATGTGTGGTGGTGTTTTTGTTTATAAAAGTTTCACTGCAGCTGCCTGACCGAAGACAAGGACAGAAAGCGTTTCGGACAGATTTGAACTCTGGATGACTATTTGTTGTCTAGAGATTTGGCAGTAAAAACAAAAAAACAACCTTGAATATGATCTTAGTGGTCAGACACACACCTCAACCTCTGACAGGTCCAAAGTTAGACTACTTAAAGTTGAAGCATGGCCCAGGACAATTCATAACAAGTTTTACATCATTAGCAGATTTAAAAAATAAATAAATCAGCTCTGTAAATAATCCTTCCATCAGAGTCTAAGCTCAAAGCCAGAGACAGCTGGCTTCACTGTCTCGCTCTGATGGCGGCCATTTGCCAGCAAGTAAAAGCATTTAATGAAGCGTTTCGACTCATGCTGTCGCAAAGAGTTAAATGAAAGATGTTTCTTGTTGCTTGTTTGCGATCGAGTGCAACACAGGATCGAGTAACTACAAAAATACTAGGTTTTCATGCATCACCTACTGGTACTACAGGGTCACATGACTTTGGATCACATCCTTTTTAATATAAATGCACTGATCAGTCAATCAATCTGTTATTTTATTTCTCTGGAATATAGAGACATGGAGAGAGTTTTTAGCCAGTTAGGCAGCTGCAATGATAAATCAATGTACTGGTTGCAAAATAAGAAAATAACGTTTTCCCGTCAGAACAAAAGAAGTGTACAGTGTCATTTTAAATCAATAATATATATCTTAAAGGGCGTTTGGTGTTTTCCTCGTATTGTCAGATAGCCTTTCTGTTGTTCCCAGGACAGCAGTGATAGACTCCAGAGTACATGACAGCATTCTATTTTTATTTATTGATGACGATGATTTGTTGTATAAAACGTGATTGTGTATACGAATAGAATTTGAATGGTATCACACAACTCAGAACCCTTAAAGGTATAAATATTTGAACTCTTTTTTTTTTTTTTTTTTGTTATCTGTGTAGTTGGGTAACCTGTGTACAGTATAAGGTATAATTTTTGAATTTATTTCAGATATAATTTTTTAACTCAAGTGCAACAGAAGATTTGAGCTATATATGGGTGGGTGGGGTAATTTAAAGAAAAAGATAAATATCTTCCTGGATGCTGTGTTATGCTTTGTGAAAGCAGTGTTAATGTAGAGTTAGCTGTACCATGGGCAAGGTCCACACTTTGAACAGCTAGTTTGACATTTTGGGAAACGGGCTTCTTGGTTTTCTTTTTTCGAGTTGTTAGAGGAGATGATCAATATCACTTATATCTGTCCGTTCTGTTCTACATGAGGTTGGAGCCAGGAGACGTTAGCTTAGCATAAAGACTGGAAACAGCTAGTGCGGCTCTGTCTGAGGGTAAGAAATCTGCTTACCAGCATTTCTAGGGTTCCCTAATTAACACATTACGTCAAAATGTCAAGTTGATGTTTTTACGGGGGGTTGATGGGATATAACATGTTCATTTTTTGAGCTGTTGTGATGGGGTAGCCAGACGTAAAGTGGCACCAATCTTCTCTTTTAATTCTCGGCAAGAAAATGAGTCAGCATGTTTCCCAAATTGTTTAACTTGTCCTTTTAATAAAGTCAAGACGATGACAACAAAAGCAATCAGGTTTCATCAACAGCAGTGATGAAGTTTAGTGACCGTGGTACCACTACTGGAGTAGGATTTGTTTACTGGGACCATCTTTTTTTGTTTGTTTGTTTGTTTTTTAATTCAAACCTCATAAAACAGAAAGAAAACACTCTTGTATTAATCCAGCATTCTCAGTTCCCACATCTACTGATTGAGTTATTCCTCAACTTTGACCACGTGTCTGACCTGTTTTCTTACCCATTTCCATTCACCTCAGTGGTACTTTAACTCCCTGACTGTATCATGAGCACACCCCGATCATCCAACCAGCGCTTGAATCCATGGCTTTATTTTGCATAATCGTAATGGTCTCTGTGAGATGACATGAGTTGAATGAGGTTGTGGAGCAAGGTTAAGTTGACCAAAATGCTTTTCTTTTCTTTTTTGTATTTTATGTGTGTGTACCCCGGACAGTCAGTCCTCTGTTAAGGAGAATAAGCTGAATATTTTTAAAACGGATAAAAGTGAAAAAATATTATATTGTTTAATGTGTAAAAAACACTGTGCTGATGATGTTGAACTTCCTGAATGCTCTGACACTCAACATGAAGAACAAAAAGTGTGTGTGAAGTGTAGCCGAAGATCTCTGTACTGTACTGTATGTCGGCATTCTGCTAAATGCAACCAATCATGGTCCTTTCAGAGCTGTCGTAGAAGCATCTTAGGCTGAATTTAGGACTTTAAGACTTATTAGCGACATGTCGATATTCCTCTTCAATGATAGTGAGTACTTTTGATCTGACATACTTTTAACATATGTGGTTATTTGGCTAATAAAAAGACCAGACTCGAGCTGTGCAGTTTAAATAGAAATCTTGTTTTTAACCAGATTTACCAGATTTATTCCTGTGCAGACTCGGTCTAAAGGAGCATTGTGGATTACTCTGAGGTTGCATTTCATTTGTTAATGCAAGGTGATGATGATTGGTGCCATTTAGCTCCCACATTAGGTTGGTAACATTTTTCTTTCAGTCACGTTCGTCCTTCCATGATCCTGTGGTCAACTGGATGGATTAACATGGCTGAAGGGAAGCTGTAACCTGCTGAGTGAACCTTGAAACTATCAGTGCAACAGTCACTACAGCATTATCTATAGAGGCCCACCAAACACATTCCCCATCATGCATCTGTTTTAAATTACCAGTACACTACAGATTACATGTCTTTCAGCTCGAAAGTCATGCTGCCGTACAAAACTGACTCTCAGTCTGTTAGTTGCCAGTTTATTCTTTGTATCTCGTTAAAAAAAATTAAACACAACTTGTATTTTCCAGATCTTCATCTCTGTGGTGAATTCGCCTGCAGTAATTCATTATTGCATGCAGAGCATGTAGTAAAAGGTGGGGCATCTGTGATGATAGATAGTACTGAAATGACGTGTTGTGCTGAGTGTCAGTTACCTGTATTAATGTTGAGAAGAGAGCAGGGAGTGTGTTTATGTGTGCTATACGCCAGAATGCTTTTTGGTTCTGTACCGTTAACCTCAAACACATGTGCAAGCTGTTTGTACAGTACATAACAATGCTAAGATGAACTGAGAAACTTAGTTTGCTTCTTTCCAAAACCAATAAAAGTTATAACTGGATGTCTGTGTTTGCAGTTTTCTTTGTATTAAAGAATTCTGTATGATTTAGTCTTTTCTCACGAATATATACAGAAAGTGGTCCTACTGTATTTTTCTTTTTAAGACATACTAGCAGCTTGGATCTGTCAGCAGGCTCGAAATGTCTCATAAATATCTATAACAACTATTGGATAGATTGCCACAACTTCTATACAGACAGTCCCCAGAGAAGGAACCTCTGAATTTCCATCTATTACCACCCACAGGCAAAGGTTTTCACTTATTTAGTAAAATATTGGAGAAATTAGCACAAACTTTAGTACAGAAATGTGTGTTTCCCAGATGTATTGGAACAACTCTTGAGATCCCTTCTGATTTTCGTCTTGCGCAAACATGAGGTTCACATTTGTTGGTAGGAATTCTCGGATTCTCATGATGTGGGACTCACATTAATGTTCTACTTTTGTTTTTATTTAACTGTAATTTGTTTAATACTTTGGTTTATGACCAGATATCTGCAAAAGTAATGACTCCCATCAGCCTTTGTGTTGTGTAGCATAAGCATGCATACCTATTACTGTAAAACCTCATATAGCACAGCTGTAGACTCTTGTTGTTATTGAGTTTATGTGATTATTGCCTAAATTAAACCCACGATGACAGATATAAAATATGTATATAAGCCAAACTACAGCCAGAGTGTGTGTGTGAAATCTGCACAGAGCTGCTGTGGACCCTTCATGTTTTAATTATGTTGGGGGTTATTTTATGCCTTTATTGAATAGTCGACAGTGAAGAGATGACAAGGAGCAACAAAAGGCAAGATGCCACCACCAGCTTGCCTTTTTATGGCTTTTTTGTGAGTCATTGAGATGTTATAAGAGTCTTTCTATGCTGCTGTGCCTAACTTGAATTTCTCCTACAGGCGATCGATAAAGGAACATCTTATCTTATGTTTGCTTAAAGTTAGTAATGTTCGGTATCCGGTGTCCAGGAGTGCGATTTTAAAAAGATTTCACACCTCACAGAATGTAAGCCCTGTGCAAGAACATTTATTTGACAAAATTAGCGAAATGATAGAGTACAGCTCAAGTTTCCTATAAATACATTAAAGCAGATGGAAACTTTACAAACCTGCCATCCTGTGGATACATGTCTACATACAGGACACAAGCCCAGGGCTGAGGGACAACCGTCCTCTCTTTACTCAGTCTGAGTGGGAAGTGATGCAGTCCTGCACCCTTGAATATCATCCCTGAGTGCATTTACATTTACGTAGCTTACCCAACTTAGTTTTGTTACCTTATTCTCATAGGTTTATTTATAATATAATTACATGTATTTTTATTGTTGCACGTATCTTCTCAGGTTCAGAAACATGTTCACATTCACATCTACGGACTTACAAGTTAAAGTAATAACTCACAAAAATATCAAAAGCAATTAGAAAAATAGCAGTTGTGAATATGAGCATTATTGTATATACAATACAACGATCATATTGTTTTTAAACATCAGAATTTGGATTCAGGTTTGGTTTCTACTAAGGCAGAATGGAAGAGAACAGAGTCATTTTGGCCACTTGGAGAATGAGAAGAAGAGAGGCGTTGGCCTCAGCAGAGGAAGGTGAGGTCGCTCTTCCTGCAGCCCACCTGGCAGCACACAGTGGTCAGTATGTTATTCATATCCCGTCTGGTCAACCGGGAGCCTGGGTTGCTGCTGCTCAGGCTCTCCAAACTGCTCTGCTCCCCTGCGGGCAAACCTGGAACAACAAAACACCGAAAATGCTAAAGAAACACTCTGACATAAAAAAAAACTTTTGTCCTAATTTAGTCCAATAACCAGGTTCACACACAGCTTTCCTCTGCAAACGTCAATTTGTTTCAGATTGATTCTTTCACAGTTGTTTTCAACAAGGTAATGGATGAACAAAGACTTGTGTAATTGATGTCTATGTCCCCATTAAATAAGGAAACTCTAAATGACTGCGCAGATTAACTCAGTGCCATTTGTCTTCTACACTGTCACTTTACTCTTTCTAATCAGCGCGGCTGATAGGCTAACTGGGTTTGTTTGTGTGTGACTGACAGTATGAAAGAGAGACTGCCTGAGGAACAGACTGCTGCAACATTTAATCAAGATATGTGGGCTCCTCGAGCCTAATAAGGTAGAACAGCAGACAATGTCTCTGTGCTAGGGCACCTGTCTGCCTGCACACCCACTGAATTAATAGTACACAGTTCATCATGTAGCAAGAGCCATAGCAGACACAAGGGAAACACTAGCTTGCAGACAACTGTTTTGTGTTTTACTCTGAGGGATAATATCTTACATGCAAAAAAATGTTATTCAGCAGTTGAGCAGTTTCAAAGTCACTGAAAGTAACATCAAAAATCAACCTACATCATTGTATTTTAAATTCAAGTGGAGATCCAAAGGTTTTTGAAAATATATATGACGTCATGCTGAATATTGGGGAAATATTTCACAGTATACTGTAGTTTCATACAATATATAAGTGAGACACTTTGACAGTGTGCAATAAGATGATTTTATCAACCAAAAACAAAAAGGATAAACACATATATATAGAGATATTTATTCAGGAAATGTCACTGAGTAGAAAATAGATAGTAATAAGTAATAGTACAAATCCTACCTGTCTAGGTAACCCTGTGGTGTGCAGTACATCCACCACAAAATACACTGTGTTCCAAATTATGTAAATATGATTTTAATTAAAAAAAGCAAAACACAAAGTTTTCAATTGTGCTGCTTCCCATATCTGTTTAGATCACTGACATCAATCTCAGACAGGTTTGTCTTTATTAGTTTGCCAGGTGAGCCTAATCAATGGGAAACTGTTTAAGGATGTTGTTCCACATTATTAAGTAAGTCGCAGGTTTCATGCAATATAGGGGAAAAAAATATCTTTCTACAGATGAAAAGTGAAATAGTGCAGTATCTTTTAATAGGTATGAAACCACTGGATATTTTACGAAATATTAAGAGAGATCATCGTCCTATGAAAAGATTTGTGTCTGATTCAGAGCGCAGGCGGGTTCGTTCAGATAAAGGCGTGTTAAGGAAAGTTTCTGTAAGACTAATTCATCGTATTAAGTGAGCACTTGCTGATGTGCATAAAGCTGTATTTCAACCCTCAAACAATGCCCACAAGGACACATGATTGCAGTGGACTCAGAAATACATGAAGACTAATTGTCTAAGTGTCTAGTTTTATTTAGAAACTATTAAGTGTTTTGAAACTCTGTTTTGCATAATAATTTGGAACAATGCATTTTGAGTTATTTTGCAAAAAATGCCATTGTCATCATTGGTAATTGTGTTTAATAAAATCTAGATAACGATATAATTGTTGAGGAATAAAAAATCCTATTGACTGCCAATTATATCGACTATTTAGTAAGAAAAAGAACAAAAACAGTATATGCATAATAATTTGGAACACAGTGTAATTTAAAGGATTAGTTCACAAGTCTGTCTTTAAACAATAGTCAGCTGTAATCTGTTTAATTGGCCTGACCATTAAGAAATCAGGAAAAAAAAGGTGATGAAGGACAAAATCCATAGTCATCACACAAATATGTATTTTTTTTATATATTAGATATTCTATTCTAGTTTTCTCTGAAGGTAAAATGAGACATCAGCAGTTTGAGATGATCAAAGTCAAATCAATTGGAAATTACAGCCTTTTTAGTCTGAAAATCCCTGTTGTGCTGCAGCAGAGGGAGAGTCACAAATGAGGGAATTTCAGTACAAAAAAAATACAAACTTTGGAAAATACATTTTATTCAGTGCGTTGCAGTTTAATTCAGAGCTTCATATTAGCTTTAAATTAGTCAATTTTCAATTTGTCAGGTGCATTATTAGGAGTGGACCTCTTAACTGCTGGTACCCAGAGGAATCACTACAGCCAGCAAAACTTGTTTCCGTGTTCATAGTTTATATTGTTTCAAGAGAGACTTTAAAAACTATATAATAACTGTATATTTTAAGGTTAAATCTACCTAGAAACAGATACCAAATATTCTTCAGATACCTATTATTCTTTCTTGTATGCACACGTCTAATAATAAGATTAATCCTGAAGACAAAGTTAGACTCTTTCATCACCATGTCTGCTGTTCAGAGAATAAAAAGAGGAAGTTGTCTCACCATCACCATCCATGTCTGTCTCACTGAGAAATCTCCTCCAGCGGGAGCCTCCGCAGGTGTAAACGACGGCTCTCAGGAACTCTCGACCACACAGCTTCACTGCCTTCACCTCCGCTCTCACCTGGTCCACATGCACCACTGCACACAACAGCAGAGGTAAAACCACTAAAGCCCGCATGCTGGACGCCTGACAGTCTGTATGGAGGTGTATTTCTTTGACGGTCTGGTTTGTTCTGAAATGACCTCGGCTGTCGGCTGTCTTTGAGTGTTTCTTTCTTGAGTCAAGTCTGTTGGAGGCTTCAGCACAGTGGACTGGTCGTTTATCCAATGCTTGCATCTCCCTGCATTATATACCATCAACCTTTCAGATCATCCGTGCTGAGTATCTCCACCTCCTCCCTCTTACTGGACCCTTAGCCCATCCCAATCACACTCACACACACACATACACATACACATACACACACACAGTCCTCACTCTGTCATGACAGTCAAGTCATTTTATGTTTCCGGTCATTTCCACCAACACCATTTTTGGCCTCCTAAAAGAGAGAGTGACGGCCATCAGCCTTTTACAACCCTCCAATGACAATCACATTAGACAAGCGCAGCCTCCTCACCCTCTCTGTGATTATGTGAGTTAAATCTGTGATTGCACCGACCTTCACTACACTAAATGGCTAATTAAGCGATGCAAAGTGATTCCCCCTGCAGTCAAACAGATGTTTGATCTGTTTACAACACTTTGATGGCCTGGTTGTCTTTGGCTTTACAGCAGTTTGGGCCATATGAGAGGAAAAGAGTCAATGTTGACAGTCCATCATGCAGGTCATTATGGTGCTGCTGATGGTGCGATGTGATACTCAGCATGACATTTCACTTCGATCTTTAACAGTGGAGTTCCCACTTAGGATGTCAATGAAATTATATTATGTTTAGTTGGACATGCTGCAGGTTTTTCCCTATGGTAGCAAAAAACAGACCAACATTTTAGATGAAAATAGAATGAAAAACATATTTGTTTTGTTGTTGTTTTTCCTTTTTCTTAAGAAATAACAAGAGTTTCCCAATAAAGTTACATCTAAAGAGGTTGTTATGACAGTAATTAATCTTTTACTTTACTGGAACCAAACTACACAGTTTTGCTGTTTTTTTAGGTCAGTGATTTTCAAACAGGGCTCCTTGAATGGGTTGTAGGGAGGCCCCCAGCACATTTTTTGGAAATTGAAACAAGAAAAGAAATATGGTTGGCTGTTCTGATTGATTTATTGATTTGTAGTGATCCTAGTTTGATCATTGATTGACTATGAAGACTTTTTTTTATCTTTAAACCTAAAAAAACAAATACTAAGAGGGAAAGACAAAATCCTCTTAAATTGAGGGTCCATTATCTAATGTGAATCTATTGTGAAGGTCCTAATAATGAAAAAGGTTGGGAGCCCCTGTTCTAGGTAAAAGCCTGCACTTTTGCATATTAAAGAGATTCTACAGTTTAGGGCCTAATTAAAGAACTTGTTACTGAATGGTTCAATTAGTAATTATTTACTGACTCTTGGATCTAAATAACCAAGTTATAGACCCTAAACAACCTGCTGACTGTCTAGTTATTCAGAGACTTGGCGTTGCCCTTGTTTCAGGTTGGGGACATTATCAGTCAGACAGACTGGGAAACTTCTGGCACAAGTAAGTGAACATCATGTTCTGCTAATGCTGCATGTACAGTAACCATTTTAATACAAGATAAACACAAGATATTACGCATGAAAATTCAGTCTTGACCTTTATCACACTTTTAACAGCAGAAATCCTAAAAATGTTTTGGATGACAAGTTCCTTCTGCTCACGGAGACTGTGTGAAACTGTATGTTTGAAGTGTCTATAAAAAGCTAGTAAGTGGACCTTGTTTTGTCTAATGTTTATGATTTTTTTGAGGTGAGGTTATCACACAGTATCAGCAGACACAGGTTTATTAACTCAGCCCGACTGTGCTGGCTGGCTGACATGTTTGCTACCTTTATGATGTTGCTCTGGCTCCTTTTACCCTTTACGTTATATCTGCACAGAGAATGACAGCACAGAGCGATTCCATTACCACAGACAGGTTACTGTCATTTTTCTGAAAAGCTGAAACAAAAAATGCTTTAGTATTTTGTCAGTTTTTTCCATTCACTCCTGAATGTGGTTATAAAACGTAACCCTAATGACTTGAACGGAGACACAACAGCCTTCCTGTTTGGAGCTGATGAGCTGGTGCGGCTGCAATCAGAGCTGCAACTCCTTTCGTCATAATGAACTCTCCAGATGACTCAAAGGCCTGGAGAGGTGAAGAACATGATCTAGATTACAACGACCTTAAATTACCTTAAATTAGGCTACATTTAGTGACCCTAAATTATGTAAAGCTACCAGGGTAAGTGACATATTGTCAGACATATTGTGGAAACAAGTGCTACTGTTTATCTATTAAATTAATGTCTTACTGATACTTTGTTTGCTGATTCTTCATGTTGAGTCAAATCAGTCGTATTTGGTTTGAATTCAAACAAGAAAATTGTTTTTTTGCAGTTTACCACAGACGTGACAGAGGTTCGGTACAATCAACCTGAGCAGCTGCAGTGAAGCAGAAAAGGTTCCCTCCTTCCATCATGGTGGGAAGCTGTTAGTGTTTATCAAATTACAAAGCTCCTACATGTTTTCCATTTCAGTATCAAGCCAAAATGTCATGACTGAATTTGAGAATTTAATTGATGCTGAAATGTGAGGGCTTGAAGCTCCGTGATTGTAGATGAGATTTATTTTTACATCAGTAAATGTCACATGTGAAGGATGTATTCCATCGATCTCCAGACAAACTATAAAGTAACTTTGGTTCTGGGGCAGTTTTTCATAATTTGGACTGGGAAACCACAATGATATCTTAGACATCATAGAAATATAGAGACATTAGCTGGAGTAAAACTGGAAGTAAGAAACCTCATTTAAAATTCCAGTGACAATTGTAACTACACTTAAGTATGTTGCCTGGCTCGCTTCATGTTTAGATAAGAATTTTTTTTAAATATCTTACATTTTGGGTTGCACCACATGGTTGAATGCACTTAAAAGCATCAGCTAAATAAAAGTAATGTAATTGTTGTTTATTTAATGTTTCTGATTTTTACGGCATTTAATGAACATCATTTACTACAAAAATTGGAAAACGTTACTTTAATAGAGACGCGTTGTTGAATTTTATGGATATGGATGAAACCGTATGATGCTCGTGTAACGGTAAAAACATTAAATTTAATATTAAATATAAAACCAAACAGGCAAATGTGACGTTTGCAGATAAGATCTGTTCTAATGGGATTGTTCATATCTCAAGGAGACATTCAGTCGCCCATTCCTCTGAGAACCAAATCTTACAACAAGAGACACAAGATAAATGGATAAAACAGGCACAAACCTAATTGGCTGGGGAATACATCTGTGTGTGTGTGTGTGTGTGTGTGTGTGTGTGTGTGTGTGTGTGTGTGTGTGTGTGTGTGTGTGTGTGTGCGTGTGAACAATATCCTCCACAGAGTCCACCTGAAAGAGAAGAGCCAGAGAGACACTCCGAGCTCAGCTGTGTTTACCATGTGAGATGACCATCAGGTGCCTGTGTGTCATTGACTGAGGGAATAATGGTTTCAAATTGCTGACATAAAATGCTATAAAGCCAGCAGAAGTGCATTAACACAGACAACTGTACAGTATAATGTCAGCAAAAGGCAATGATTTCCTGTGATTGTATAGTAAGTTCAATAAAAACTCCTCAATTGTACCACAACAGTTGACCTCATACTGATGGGTGGACATTGTTATTTGTATGTTGTTGTATCAAAATGACTTTTATTTTTAAAGCACTTTTCTCAGTAAAGTTAAAAGTCTTTTATAGAAAGACCAATGTAATGTTTTCTCCTTTATCTTCAATTCCATATATACTCCTGTTTGTTTTTTATTTATGTGCTTCCTTTTATATATATATATATATATATATATATATTCTTCAGTTTTACCTTATTGCACTTTCCCACACAAATGTCTTGAGTCATCAAGACATTTGCAAGCCCACTTTTACATAATATATGATTTTCCTTTAAAACCTTTAAAAGTCAGAGGTGAATACAAAGACAAAGAAATGCAGTTAAAAAAATATGTGATTTATAAAAGACAAAAGTCAGATAAACAAATAACCTGAAAATTGTTAATATCTTAAAGCTGAGAATTGTTTTAAAGGTCGAGTGTGGATCTATTGGCAGTAATGGAATATAATATTCATGGTTTTCATTAGTGTGTAATCGTCTGAAAATAAGAATTGTTGTGTTTTTGTTACCTTAGAATGAGACGTTTTTATCAACAGATAAAATGGGTCCTCTTCCACGGACGCCCCCATGCTGAACCGCCCTGTTTCTACAGTAGCCCAGAACAGACAAATCAAACACTGGCTTTAGATAGGACCCTGCTACAGATTCCACTTAATCCTTTACACTGGCCCTTTAAACAACCAATCACTAATTTATAATATATAAGTTACATATATACAGATATACTCTATATTACTATATATTTGTGTGCTTCTCATTCTGATCATTATTGTAACTTGTGTATTACATGTAAGTAAGCTTTAAACTGAATTAGAAACCATTAAAAACCTCACATTGTACCAGGAATATTCTATGTATTAAAAGATAATTTACATCAATCCTATGTGTTCAACTGGTGAGGTTTCCCTTTGCTCTTCGCTGACCCTGGAAAAAATGACTTACATGAAAAACAATAAAACAGACTTAAATGAAGAGGTGACTCTGTGAGGAAGTGAAGTAATGCCAACACCAAATGGCTCATTAAATGTGTTTGCAGGTCATTGATTCTTTATCTTTTCCCCCCTCCAATGCGTCTGCCTTGTTTCCTGTTTTCAGCTCAATAAAGTCTAAACTCACAGAACATGACCATAAAAACCTAAGTTTGGCTTAAAAAGGAAATTTGTATTTGTGAATATGTATTTTCACGGTTTAAGTAATCCAACTTTTAAATGTTATTTTCTTTAAATCAATATTTTTAAAATTCAATGAAACGGTTGCACAGGAGATCACCAGAAGGAAGACTCTTTGGTCATGATAATATGATAAGGGTACGCAATGTTTTGAGAGAAAGAAAAGGTAAGTTAGGGAAATATTCAGACTTTTGTTCTTAATAATGACATGAATGGTGCGGCCAGTGTTCCTATTAATATGAGCATTTTTATAAACAAATATGAACGCAGGCCTGCCATGTCACTACAGCAACACCCAGCCGTCACCAGTGGAGGTGAATAATAACAATATGCAACTCATAGCATACTAAAAAGAAAACAAACAAACCAATTAAATAATAATAGTGCAAATAAACAAAGTTTGCTGTTAATTAGTGTAATAATACCTTTACAAAGACCTCCCTGGCTCTGCCTCTTTACTCCTCCACACCAGCAGGGGGCAATGTCTCATTAGAGCAACGAGCATCCGGGCAGGTAGCTGAGGAAAGCAACATGGTGGACATCCTCAAGACAGGAACAGAGTGGGAAATCACGCTCAACTGGAATGATGACACTTTTGCTCGTCATTTGAGGATCTCAAAACACCAGTTTGAGTACCTCTTGACAAATTATTATTATTTTTAATTCCAAACGCTTGCTTTGGCAATATGTACAGTGTTACGTCATGCCAATAAAACTATTTGAATTGAGTTACGACCTCAAGGGGCGTTCTGCTTGCAACTTCCGGTTCGTAACTCAGGAAACCGATCAGTGTTGCCAAGTCCGCTTATTATTCAATTCAATTCAATTCAATTTTATTTGTATATGGGAAATCCCCCAGTAGTCTAGGCCTATAGCAGCATAACTAAGGGATGGTTCAGGACTCACCTGAGCCAACCCTAACTATAAGCTTTATCAAAGAGGAATGTCTTAAGTCTAGTCTTGAATGTGGTGACGAGGGTGTCTGCCTACCGAACCACAACTGGAAGCTGATTCCACAGGAGAGGAGCTTGGTAACTGAAGGCTCTGGCTCCTGTTCTACTTTTAGAGACTATAGGAACCACAAGTAGCCCAGCATTCAGAGAACGTAGTGTTCTAGAGGGGTAATAGGGTACTATGAGCTCTTTAAGATATGAAGGGGCCTGACCATGAAGAGCTTTATAGGTGAGGAGGAGAATTTTAAATTCTATTCTCTAGTACAGGAGAGATGTGATCTCTTTTCTAGTTCCTGTCAGTAGGCTACTTGTGCTGCAGCGTTTTGAATTAATTGGAGTGTTTTAATGGACTTATTTGGGCAACCTGATAATAAAGAGTTGCTGTAATCCAGCCTAGAAGTAACAAATGCATGGATTAGTTTTTCTGCATCTGTCTGTGATAGGATGTGTCTAATTTTTGTAATATTACTTAAATGAAAGTTTAACATCAAAAAATTGCAGCTCATCCAGGATTTTATGTCCTTAAGACATGTTTGTAATTTAGATAATTGATTAATTTCATTGGGCTTGATCGATAGATATAACTGCGTATCATCTGCATAACAGTGAAAGTTAATGGAGTGATTCCTAATAATTTTGCCTAAAGGGAGCATATATAAAGTAAATAGTATTGGTCCAAGTACAGAACCTTGTGGAACTCCATGACTAACTGTAGTATTTATTGAAGATTCATCGTTAACATGTACAAACTGCGACCGATCTGATAAATATGACTTAAACCAGCTTAGTGCGGTTCCTTTAATGCCAATTTGATGCTCAAGTCTCTGTAAAAGAATATTATGGTCAATGGTGTCAAATGCAATACTAAGATCTAATAATACAAGTACAGAGACAAGTCCATTGTCTGAAGGAATCAAAAGGTCATTATTAACTTTAACCAGAGCTGTCTCTGTGCTGTGATGAACTCTAAATCCTGATTGAAAATCCTCAAATAAACTATTGTTATGTAGAAAGTCACACAGCTCTTTGGCGACTACTTTCTCCAGAATCTTAGAGAGGAAGGGGAGGCTAGAAATCGGTCTATAGTTGGCTAAAACCCCTGGGTCAAGAGTGGGCTTTTTAAGAAGGGGTTTAATTACAGACTGTGGTACATATCCTGATAATAAAGAAAGATTAATCATATCCAGTAAAGAAGCAGCCTAGTTGGGATCGGGTCCAACAGACAGGTTGATGGCTTCGATGTAGAAATTATTGAAGTTAACTGATGAAGATCGATAGCAGAAAAACAGTCTAAATATATATCTGAGTTTACAGTAGTTAAAGTTCCTGAACCTGGAGAGCCACTTTGGGCTTGTTTTTCTGTAAAGTCGCTTACAAATATTGGTAGTCGCGGGTCGCGTTTTATTTGGGCTTGTTTCTAAAGTGTAGTTGCTTATTTGGGCTTGTTCCCAGCTCCATAATAAGTTGTCAAGCAGATATTTTCTATATGTTATTTAAACATAGGAGTTTGTCTTGCCTGTTCCCTCTGTCCCTCCCCTTTCCCCATACACACAGGAGACAGCAGAGTGCTTCTAATTGGCTCTGACTCAGAGTACTAGCCAATCAGAGGCAGAACAGGGCAATCTGTTTTTCTTTCTGGTTAGGAAAACGTCAGTAAGTGATGTTTAAATGAAAATACCCGCTACTGATGGTGGACTGTATGAGAGTTTTTGAGGAACAAATCAAAGTGGGCAAAATACGGGAAGAAATATAATAATATATAGCAGTTTAGTTTATTTCTATCTCACTCATTTGTTCATAAGAGCAGGAGCCACTTTATTGCTGCACACTATGATTATCAATAATTAGTTTTCTCCTGTTTCTGGGTTATAGTTATTTAAAAATGGGATCTTCTGCAGTCCCTGCAATAATAAATAAAGAATTTGTGAATTCAGGATTATATTTACTTGTGTGTGCAAATTTTATTTATCAGAGGTTTACTTTGTATATATAATATACTTGGTGCATCAGTTTATATTTGATATAATTTAACTCCCTCTTGTTAAACCGTGCACACAGTTTATTTATTTTTCTCTTCCCTGAACCTCGCGGGGCTCCGTAGAAAAAGTCGCTTGTTTTCTGGTTGCTCATTTGTCTCGCGAGATCTGGCAACACTGAAACCGACTCGCAGACCGAGTTTGACCCGATACATCCACTGGTTGGAGGGACCTTCAATGTCATGTAGTGCCGTTAACTTGATAGAAATCTAAATTATTTGCTTATTTACTCAGATAATCCGCTCGGGACAGCAGGCGTCGGCCACAAGGTGAGTCTTTAACGCTGCGTACGTAAGTTACGTCGTTGAGTGCTAACTGAGGAAGCTAACAGTTAGCCACGGGATTTAAGTGACATGTGTCTCTGAACTGTGACTGACTGTGTACATCTACTGTGTACATCTACTGTGTACATCTACTGTGTACATCTACTGTGTATGTGTGTCCAAAAGCACTCTGATCCTTTTACTTATGTTAAGATTGGAGTTCTACAATATTTATACATATTTATATATAAAAAAAACAGTAAAAGCATAGAAAGAAATCCTACTTTTGTATAAGTGCATTATCAGTATGTGAGTGGTAACAGTTAAAGTATATTTTAAAGAATAAAATGTATGAAGTAAAGCAGAGTTAACTTTCTTTTCATGGCTGATGGTGATCAGATAATCGATAACTTCACAGTACAGTATTTAAAAGAAGTTCACAGCCTGTAGTTTATGCACACCGGAGGGTTAGAAAAGCAAAATTGGATTTCATATTTCATAGCTAATCAAAGTAAAGTGACATCACTATTGTTAACACAACAAAAACAAACAGTTCTCACTCTTCAGATCTTAGTTATATTTCCACCACTTATTTTAGGGCTGCAACACTACTACGACTACTCTTGTCAATTTAGAGAAAATACCAACAAACTGACTCATTTTTAGAAGCTGAAATCAGAGAAGGTTTTATTTTTTTATTTAATTTCTGTCCATCGACTTATTAGTTCAGCTCTAACTGATTCGTCTCATCTAGTAGGTCTGGATCTACCATGGAGCCCATAATGAGTCAGATTTGGTCGAGAGTCTGCCAGCGCCTCTACAGAACCTCAGTGAACCCCAGGAGGAGCCATTCGGGGTGTGCTGAGCACGCCGCTGTTCCTGCCTCCACCAACTCCAGACATACCAGGCCCACACTCCTGGTGTCTCGCCTCTACCAGCCTTCAAACCTGCGTGATGTGGGGCAGGACAGTCGGTCGCAAGGAGAGATGACTTGTAAGAGCCAAAGGCTCATGCTGCAGGCCGGGCTCATCCATCCGTCCAACGCAGGTTGTTACTACTACCTGCCTGCCACCGTTCGCTCCATGGAGAAGCTGGTGAGTCTAGTTTGGTGAATTTGGTTGTGTCATGTCCACAAACAAATATTTTGATAAAGATTGGTCACTGCAGAGATCTTTCTGACATGAATCTGCGACCCGCCTTTATAAAGACAGTGGAACAATAGAATAAAGACACTGTTTCTCATTAACTTAGCCATGTCTACTTTTGCCCCCTTGTCACAGGTTGTGTATGTCTGACTAATGTTTCCTTTCAGATTGCTTCAGATGATTTTTAGAGGCCTGAAAAGCTAAAACTGTTGAGTGATTCATAAGAAAATGAGAAGATTAAAGCATAATTTCATCATAATAATGTGTTGCAGAAATATGTTTTCTTCTTTCAAATTCTTTTAAACATTTGAGATTTATTTTGCGACCCCTTGGTCGATGGTCCCAGCTCCAAGGTTGGAAACCACTGCATTAGAACATAAGAGTGATGAATCAGTGTAAATGTTTATGTTATGATCCTTAAAGTGTAATAAGTGCTTTTTTAAATCGACAGATGAGAATCATTGACGAAGAGATGCAGGGGATTGGTGGGCAGAAGCTGGACATGCCCAGTTTATGCTCAGCTGAACTCTGGAAAACCAGTGAGCGCTGGGATTTGATGGGAAAGGAGCTGCTCCGTCTGAAAGACCGCCATGGGGTCAGCTACTGCTTGGCCCCCACACACGAGGAAGCAGTTACGACTCTGGTTGCGCACCAAACGACTCTCTCCTACAAACAGCTCCCTCTGCTTCTTTATCAGGTAGACTTTACCCGGGTTGCTACCAGTGTATGTGTTGTAATAAAGCCACAATTTTTACATTATGATTTATTTTCTTTAAAAACAGATCACACGCAAATTCAGAGACGAACCGAAGCCAAAGTTCGGTCTTCTTCGAGGGAGGGAGTTCTACATGAAGGACATGTACTCATTTGATGTGAGCGAAGAAGCAGCTTACCAGACTTATGAAGCCGTGTGCCACGCATACACCAGGCTCTTCGCCCGTCTGGGTCTGCGCTGCATTCAGGTGCAGGCAGACACGGGCAACATAGGCGGAAAACTCTCCCACGAGTTCCAGCTGCCAGCAGACATCGGTGAGGACAGGCTTCTGGTCTGTGGGAACTGCTCTTTCTCTGCCAATGTAGAGACCATGTCATCAGACAGCACCGACTGCCCACAGTGCAAAACTGGCACACTGGTGGAGTCAAAGGGTATAGAGGTGGGCCACACCTTTTACCTGGGTAAAAAGTACTCTGATTTATTCAATGCCACCTTCAGCAATGCCCAGAACAAGCCTAGTGTTGCAGAGATGGGCTGCTTTGGTCTTGGGGTAACCCGTATTCTCGCTGCAGCCATTGAGGTGATGTCGACAGAGGAGGCGATCCGATGGCCGGGGCTTCTCGCCCCTTACCAGGTGTGTGTTTTACCCCCAAAGAAGGGCAGTAAAATTGACCAGGTGGCAGTCTTAGCTGAGGAACTGGTTCACACTTTGGGAGAGACTCTACCTGGTTTGAGAGGTGAAGTTGTTCTTGATGACCGTACACAGATGACATTTGGAAAGAGGCTGAAGGACGCCAACATACTGGGCTACCCATATGTTATTGTAGTGGGACAGCGAGCTCTAGAGGAAACACCCAGGTTTGAGGTGATCTGTCAGCAGACAGGTGAGACAATGTTTCTCAGTCAGGATGGACTGTTAGATCTTCTGGGGAGAGTGGAAACTGTATGAACTCTGAATGTGGAAATAAATGTTTTATTTTATGTTTGTGTGTACTTTATGATGAGTAAAATGTAAGTGAGGTGATGGGAAAAGAAGATAAAAGCCTTGTATGTTTGTAAGTTATAAACCCTACAATGTACGTACGGTTTTACATTTTTTATGGCATAAACTTACTGTCAAAACACATGATATTGGACTTAATTACTTTTGGTTTCCATGGTGTAATTCACAAAGTCACAATTTTAGTTTCATGTTCCCATGCAAGTAAAAACATAAACCCACAGAAGTGAACATAAATAATGACCTTTATGCTGTTGTGTTTGAATAAGAATTTGCACCTGGAAAAATACAACTTCCATCATAGTACGACTCAATGCTGTTCCTCTGGTAGATATAATAAATACAACCATGACATAAAAGTTGGTGGAAGAAGTCAACTTCTTCAATTTAAGCACAAGCAGCATTACCACAATATATAATGTAAAGTAAGTCAAGTAGCTCAATATGCAGGTTGTCCACATTTAAGTGCATTATTACATGAAATGTATTTATTTTGATAAAAACCAACATTTTATTGTTGCTGTTAAATTAGGTTGTTTATAGTAAGTTATACATCATATATATATTTAACTGCTTTGTGCATAAAATCTTAATCTGTTCTCCATCTAATAACCATTGTCAGTGGAAGAAGTATGAAGAGCTCAAGCAAAAGTGTCAATACCCCAATATAAAAACACTATTTGGCACATTTTATGTAAAACTTAATTAATGTTACATAAAAGCAAGCATCCATTGTTACTCTTTATTCTGTTGGGCAGTTTAGTCAACAACAAGTCGTCATATTTCAATAAATTATAAGAATGTTTTGTATGAAAAATCTTACCTGCAACCAGGAAACACAGGATGGAAATACTCAACTGCAGTCAGATAACCTTTAAATGACACATGAGTAAATGTATATAGTCATTTATATATATGTGGCTCTGTGTGTGTTATGTGTTGTCCGGAACTAACGTATCTGCACTGTGTTTCCGCACGGACTTTTATTCGCGTTGTACCACCCATGCACATGTGTAAACAAGGAGCTGGGTATCTTCTAGAACCGGGAAACCAGCTGATGGGCTGTAATCTTTTCTAATATACAGAAGAATCGCAACGTTAAAATCACTTATAAATAAACTAAATATACACATTTTGAGCCAAAATGGCGTCCTCAGAGGCGCAGTGTGAGAGCGACGATGGCATGGACGAGTTAATGGACAAATTCAAGACCCAGAGATATAAAAATGCCTTCAGTGAAAACAGCTGGGAAGAGGTAACGTGAAGCTCAACATCATCTACCCACCTTTGCATATCTATGATCAATAAAGTAGCTTCTCCTTAATTAAAGTTGTTGCTAAGTAAGTGATCCATCTGTCTGTCTGTCTGTCTGTCTGTCGTTCAGGAGTTAAATAAAATACCAATGTTCATGAAAACTGCCCCTGAGGAGATTGACCCAAAGGAATACCCTGAACTAGCCTGCCTACAAGCTATTATCCACGATGAAGACAGACCCCCTGAAGGTACCACCAGACACCTGTTGGAGATACATACAGATTTCTTTTTAAACTTGAGAAACTGTTAATGATTCAATCAATTTGCCTCTTTCCTCCCTCAGAGCAAGCGAAGGGCCTGAAAGATGAGGGGAATGTGTATTTCAAGGAGAAGAACTACCAGAAGGCCATACTGTCCTACACCGCAGGTCTGAAGAAGAAATGTGGCGACCAGGAGCTCGACACTGTTCTCCTCACCAACCGGGCCGCAGCACACTTCCACCTGGGTCAGGATCTCTTTATTTCTTATGGCACACAGACACATTAATAGCTGTGTAAGAGACCATGAAGATGCTTATTATGCGTATAAATAGTGATCCCAGAATAATATGAAGCAGTCCCTCATTCTTTCCCACTTGCTTTTCAACCCCAGTTCATTTTAGCCGAATGTCAAGATGCCTCTGAGTTGTTTGGAGGGTAATTCAGACAACCTGACAACCACAGGGTGTGGGAACTGACTCCTAAACAGTGACTGAGAGCAGCTCGGTGCATTCCCGTCTTGGCCAATCAGTGCGCCGACGCCCTTTCTTTAGGGCATAAGAGACTGCACATATTGTCACTCTTAAGGCCCTTTTGTTTTCTAATTGAAAGTGACTTTAAGCCTTCAGAGAAACAGTCTGAGTAAATATTAAAGAACCCCCTTTCCACTGGGTTACCTGCATCGGGGCAGATCTTGGCGAAGAGTTTTGCTCGCCTGACAATTACCTAAGCTAAGACAAGAGCTCCCTTTATTTAAATTCATATTGGCACAGCAGCACAGGGGGATGTAGTTAAAAGAATAAAGGAAATAGAATAAAATGTATTGTTGTGCAGAAACTGGTGATGTGCTTGACAGTGGTGTGTTGTTTAAAGTCTTAATCAGTGGAGGTAGGAGGCTTTATTTTCTTATTTTCTTTATTGATTTATTTCCACTGCAGCCCTTTTATGCAAAATACCTTATTGAAGAGGCGTTTGTTTATTATTAATTTACTATTTTTAGCCTTATACGGTTGGGAACTGGTTCTCAGGCTTTTTCCTCATCAGCTGAGATCTGGGGAATCAGTACAACCACAAATATTTAATTTATTCTATGTTTCTCGCTTAATTTCACCCTCATTTCCTCCCGGTTTGTATCTCACAGGTAACATGCGCTCTGCGTTGAATGACGCTGCAGCTGCAAAGAAAATCAAACCAGACCACCTTAAAGCCTTGATCAGAGGTATGTATTATAAATCACACAGGTTTTTCACCTGCAGCAACACCTTGTCATAAGTTCATAAATATTAGAATAGTACAGAAGAAAGCAAACAGCGTAGAAAAATGATACAAAACAAATGTGTTTGTGTGTGTTTCCGCAGGGGTTCAGTGTTGTATGGAGCTGCGTATCTTTGCAGAGGCCATCCAGTGGTGTGATGAGGGGCTCAAGTCTCATCCCACAGACAAGAAGCTGCTGGAGCTGAGAGCAGCAGCAGATAAACACAAGGTACAATCACTAATGAGTTCATTCGATTTTGGGGTGGAGGTTTTAGTTTCAGTCGAGTATAATGTTTATTTTTTGTGCCTTTTTTTTTTTTTTTTTTTAGAGAGCAGCAGAGAGAGACGCCAGGAAAGCCAAGGCCAAAGAGAAAAAGCTGCAGGGTGAGAAAGAAGCTCTTCTGGCTGCTATAAAGGTGAGCATCCAATTTAAAACTCCAACTTGCATCAAATCAAACTTCATATGCATTTGTATTTAAAAAAATCACTTTATAAAACATGAAACAATTCAAATCTGTAAACTAATTCTATGTTTAACGATACATGTGAACTCGATGGGGTTTATCAGATACATTTGTCTGTTCTTTGTGCAGGATCGAGGCATCAAGCTTCTCCAGTCTTCGAAGCCTCGTCAGCATGGTTCAGACAGTGAGGGTGAGGATAAAGGCGCCTCAGCAGCGATATCACAGTTGAGCCTGGATGGCCTCAGCTCTCAGGAGGTCACGGGGGCTCAGGTCTTCCTGGACGAGCAGGGCTCTCTGCAGTGGCCTGTTCTCTTCCTCTATCCCGAACACCAGCAGAGTGACTTTATCTCTGCTTTCTGTGAGAACAACTGGTAAACTGCTCTGTTTCTTTTTGAATATATAGATTTGTTGTATGTCTGTGTTTGTAGTAACCGAGAGGTAGTTTAATTTATTGCAGCTCATCAGGATACACACGTCAACCTCTCTCCTTTTAATTTGACTAAATAAAGTCACTTCTGTATCTTTTTATTTGTTTCAGTTTCATAGATCACCTGTCGGTCATGTTTGGAGAAGAACTTCCACCTTGGGACTCGGATAGAAAATACCACCCACAGAATTTGCAGGTTTGTGTATTTTGCCTAAATGTTACTGTATCTTGCCGTAGATTAAGCAAAAATAAGCACGTACTTTGCAATTTTTTGTTTAATAATGTGATAATTTAACTTGTCATATTATATGTTATTATGTAGATAAAGAATTCACCTACTATTATCTGATAGGTACAAGTAATCAAGCGTACAACTGTCAAACAGTGATTATATTTCATTACCAAAGGCAGCAAAGTTATATCAATACATGAAATGACAATAATCGATAATTAATCATTCTGTTTAACCGCATTTGACCTTTCCTCACTTTTTAGCTGTACTTTGAAGACGAGCAGAAGGAGACTCTCTACCAAGTAAACCCAGAGACGTCACTTTTAAAAGTGTTGCAGCATAAAAGGTAAATCTGTTGAGATGAAGTCTGGTTTTTATTTTCCTTTGGATTTGTTTGTGCAGCTAATTAAACAAAATTAAAATAGACAAATAACATAATGAGAACCAGCTGCCTGGTGTTTCCTCATTAGGCAAGCAAAGGAAAAAAACAGTGATATTGTACTTTAATGACATATAGGTCCTTATAGGCAGGTGGTCGTGGTCCCAGATTCTTTGCTTTTGCACTTCAGTACCGTTGAGGGATGTATATCTCAGAGGATATTATCTGTTAGAGAATATACTGAATTTGTGTTACCATGGTGTCAATATCTCCTTTTAAAGTATACTAACTTACTGGACATTAATTTCCTGTGTCTGTCTTTTCTGCTCTGTTTTTCTAAAAGGTTTTTTGTCAAGGGAGGGACTCCCAGTTTCATCGTTCTGGTAAAGGATTCCTCGTTCTGGGAGCAGTTTTTAACTGGGAAGAAAATACAAAGATTGTGAAAACGCATGGATTTAATATCTTGGACTATTAATACACAAAATTCTCCGACTCGTGGCAAAGGGCAGGACACGCTCTTCGACAACAGATATGAACACACATGAATATAAAACAAATAATATCTCTGAAAGATACAAACTGCAAATTGAAAATGGTGTAAAGAAATTTTATTCAAGTGCTTGATTAGACAAATTAATCACAACAAGAACAAAATGTATAATGGCTATTAACAAGTGATGTAAATGCTTGTAAGTAAAAAAAGTTTATCCTTGACCAAACATACCAGTAAGTCCCTGAATCTGGTGCTACAAGTCTCAGTGTTAGTCAGCAACAAAAGCAACATAATCTCTAGTTAAGCTTTATTATCCGTTATGGAATTAATTTGAATGCTAGAAATTAGAAATCTGCTTTCAGAACAAACATTTTCCCTTGGAGGGCCAAAACTGAAGCTAAATGATGGGCCACGGGCCAAAAGGACACCCTTATTGTATTGTACTGTTAAGATGCAAAATGGTACTAAGATCCCAAGTTCCCTTAATTGACTGACTTCGTGTGAAAGTTGTCACTCTGCCCTCCATGCTCAGTTATGAAAAATTATTAGGAATCTTACATATTTAAAGAGCATTTAAATATATATATAAAAATTGCATAAAAAATAAAACAGGAATTTTATATCAGAACGTTTTACTTTGTCCCGTAGGGCTCACTTTAGGTGTCCCTGTTTTAGAAGGAAGGCATTGTGTACAGATGACTAATGTCTGCAATTGTTTGTTCAAATGCAGTCAGACAGGGTTTCTTTAGCATACTTTTTGTAATGTTGTGTAATGATGTTTTACCGTACTCTACGATAGACTCAGCCAGGCATTCATTTCCTAAAGGTGTTCTCTAATGTGATCAGCTGATTACTATGATACTACTGCCAGGTCAAGCCTGTAAATCATGAGAACTTGGGGCCTCGAGCAAGAACCACTCTTACAAACATATTGGCTCTTTAGTGGTTTGTTTGAGTGATTTAAGAGCATTTTTTTCTCTTGGGAAACAAACTAATACAGAATTCTTGAGCAGCCATGACCTGCTGTATGAGTCATGTGCAAATAGGCTGCATCTCCCCACAGATGGAAAAAAACATTTGAACGGAAATTACAATGAAACTGAATAAATTTTGAGCTTAAAAATGAAACTGAAATGAACAACAATTTAATACATATTAAGACAAAAATTCTGTTCACCAGCATATTAGGTTTTATATTTTATACTAATTACATAAACCTATCATAAGTGCATCATATTAAATATTAAATATCCATTAAATTCACCTTGGAACTCAAAATAATAAGAATAATTTGATTGATGCAATTGGATATGTTTGAATATGAGTTGTATTGATCAGATCAGATTTAACTCAAACCACAGATTGCCTCATTTTTTGTTTGTTTTAACAGAAAAACTTCAGACAACTAAAATAATTTGACCCTGTAGGCATAAACAAGAAGACCAAGTTACGTATAATTACTATTACCATAGTGTTACTGTAATTGATTGAATCATGATTATCAAGAGAGGAAGTCTTTTTGTCAGTAAAACAAACCGCAGCATGATCTGAATCATATTACCTTCATTAGAGACAGCAGACCAATGAGAAGCCACAAAGCTCAGTATGACATCATGACGACTGGTTGGCTCATGAAAACAGGTTGGGGAGCCATCATCTGTGGAGCGTTCTGCTGCACATTGACAAAGGTTTGAGGCTGCGCATTGACAAAGGTGTGAGGCTGCGCATTGACGACAGTGGGACTCTTCTTGCGATGTTTTAACTCGCGATGCATCTGACACCAGGCGCACCAGACGCAGAAACAGGAAACTGGGATGTCTTCACAGAGAGAACCCTGAGGAGAACCAAAGTTGAGACGTATGTAAACTTTTAAATTAGACATGGCTTAATCTTTTTCAGCAAACTATGGGAAATTCAGTATACATCAGCTTTACATGCATCATACCTTGATTCCATATCTGTTTCTCATGGAGGCCCTTAGAGACAAGAGTGCAGGAGGAACAAAGAATGGTATCCCACAGGCTGCGAGTATTGCAGGGCTGCATACGTCGCATAATGGCAGACACTGGTTTTCTCCAAATTGTCCTGAAACTGTGCAGGCAAGGCAAGGACAGCACCAGAAACCATAGCAGCCTGAAAAACATGGGTATATGTCAGTAGGTTGTGACAAACCCTCCGAAGTAACCTAAGGTCATAAAAATGTAATCGAAAGAATACGAAATAGTCAAACTTGTGGTACTGACAAGTACTGGCGTCCTCAAAGCAGTCACAGAGACCGGTGTCCCAGTCTCTCAAGGGTTTTTCTGCCATTGGTTGTTGAACAGTGTAAGCCATAGATAGTGAACTATGAACCTGTTAACACAAAGAAATCGGAACAAAAACTCATATTGTTTCTTGGAACAAGACATGCAAAGGCTTATGATGTTTTAATTTTTTTACTGCTACAAAACTTCATCTTTGTTAGCTATGTTACTTTTGCTTAAGGCAATTGGGTTTGGGATTTAATATTTCAATGTTTTTATAATTTGTGTTCAGCTTTGACTGAAAAATGACTAGCTACAGTTTAACAGTCTAATTACTTTGGAAAACCTCTCAATAGGATGTGCAGATTGACTTGGTAAAAATAAAATGGGACAAAAGCCCAATACAATACAATATACAGTTCATACAATCCAATTCAAACTGTCCTAAACTGACCACATATGAGAAAAATACCCTAAACTTACTGTTGAGTAGCTACGACATATAATGTATTACTGAATACAGCCTGTGGTAAATGTAAGAAACAGATAAATCAGATTGTCTCTCTAGCTACAAGCACAAAACTGAGTGACAGAGAAATAACAATATGCATTTTACAATCATATTTACTTCAGAATTAACATAAAAGACATATGTATACCTTCTACGTCTTTAATTATTCTACAGGGTGTGAAACAATGACTATAGAATGTAGAGCCCAGAATTTGCAGACATTGTTTGCCATTACAGATAGATTTACATCCCTGTACACATATCTCCTATATGGATATAATTGTACGACTGTAAAGTCTCACATTATCCTCCACAAACAATCCAACTGGTAACATTTAGAAATACCCAGGATGCCTCTGTTTTAGTGGTGAAGTTAATATGAACATTCAAAAAACTGCTGCATGGGACTGTGTTACCAAAGAAGTGAAAATAAATAATTTTCATCTAAAGAAACCTCACTTTTCTTACAGTATAAATTAACTGTTACAGCATGTCGAATTAAACTTTAATTTACCTGTTGGAATAAAGATGTGAAACGTTATATTAATAAACTTAAAGGTCTTACCTGACAGCTAGCCAACCTTCTTACCCACTCTGAAGCTGAGAATGAATGAAAGGATGTGCATTAGATTAGGAGTGGCATCTTGTGTAAGTAGGACAGCTAAACACAAACAATGCTGCAAAACCTGAATCTGATGGAACAAATAAATGAAATTGAAACTGAATTCCAAGAACACTATTTCCATACTATTTATCGTAAATGCTACACCCACTTGACCTTTAAACAGTTTTCCCATTCATATACAGGAACATACAAAGATGAAACATCCATAAAGGAACTTTCTCTTTCTGTATGTGTTTGATTACAAGAGAGGTATTATCATTAAATACTGATTTTGTTTTTTTCATCTTGATAAATGCTAATCAGAATGATCTGCATTATATTTATTTATTAATCTGTAGCATCTTGACCCTGCAGGTACACAGGAAGCAGCCATGCATGTCGGATTGATTCATACATTGGTGCATTTATTTATGGAATCATGGTTTATTTTATTCATCCTGTCTTCTGCACATGTATTTTTATTTTAATTGTTGTTAAATAATTCATTGTCAATCAGCAATAATGTACATAATCATTGCAGGTTGGGGAGAAAACACTTTTCCACTCCACTAGGAAACGGTGATGAGTTGACAGGTCAGATTTGGCTGCAGGGTGTTTCCCAGAATTCATCTCCTCATGACAAGAACTTGACTGAAAAAGTCAACAGGTTGGGATAATAACATCAATCAAGCTAGGAGGGTCTGTGTGACCCAGTTTCTGACATTTGATGACAGTTAAGGCCTTATAAACACAAAACTGCTCTCCTGCCTTACTATAGTGGCAACATCACCTCTCTGTGAATATCCTGTTACTGATTGAAGAGTGGTAACTGCAGCAATGTGTTACTCACCAGTATTCAATACGATCTTATAATGTAAAAATTAAAGTTTGTAGGCTTCATGATATTTAGATAGCATAAAACATGTATATTAAAAACATTTACTCATATTAAAGTCAGGCTATTGCACCTCACCTGATGCGGATGCATTTTACTAAAACATGTCATCAGTTAATGTGTGGAGTTAAGCAATCATCCGTCCATATTGTAAGTGGATAGGACAGGGCTGCAAAACTATTGTGAGACAGTGTGTGCCATGTGTTCAGTGGATCCTCTACGTCACCAGTTTGGCAGCTAAGAGATTGTGCAACCTTTTGGTGGGAATCTCATCCTGAGAAGAGGACGATTGTTGCAGTTCGGCAAAGAAACAGTGAAAAAAGTCCACATGTTGGACTGAAGACAGCAGCTGGTGGATCTGTGGAAGCAGCTCGTTCGACATCTAGAACTAGAAACTGGAGCACTTGTTCAGAAACCCGGTGAGCAAAATGTTTTATTTTAAAGCTGCTCCCGTATTTAAAGGGTCAGTTCACCCACATTACAAAAACACATATTTCCTTTTTTGGTTTCATGTGCTGAGATTCTGAGACATCTGAAACCACCCCGATTTAACTTTTATAGGTGTAAATGCAGCTGATGTTTACAGCACTTTAATCAGGTTGGTAACTCTCTAAATCTCAGAGGTGATTTTCTGTTTGCTTTTCATTTATTATTTTATTTATTTTATGTAAAAACAGTTATGCAGTGAAACACCAACATGTTTACTATTAAGGAAATAATGAACAGCCTTGTGCCTTTGCCTTCATCCTGTGAGCTTTCATTAGTTTTTTCAGACCTAAAAGGGAAGCAGTTACAGTTTTTTTACCTGACAACAGGTGCTGCTCTGTTAAAAGCAGGTTAACCAAAAATGTCTTTGTCCACCTGAAACGAAACCAAACAGAGGATGTGGTTGTGATTTGAAACCTGTAGAAGCAACCACAACTTCAGAACGATACAGCCCTGCTGTAAAGCTCGACAGCACCACATGCTGTTCACTGCTGGCACTTTAGTAGACAGTGTACAGGTACAACCTGAAAACTAGCAGGTGAGTTATGGAGTTGTGTTTGTACTTGTTGTGGTTCAGCTGCTGACCGTTCCTCTCTGTGTTTGTCCTTCTGTGTTGTCTTTTTGTAAATTTCTCATTGCACAGGCAACAAGTTGCTGTTTTTGCAACCAAAACCACAAATTCAAAAAACAAACTGTGGCACACTGGATGAAATACTCAGATCTTTTACTTTAGGGGATACTACAACTGAATATGAATTTATGAATATGTGTTTTTGTTTGTACAAATATAAACTGCTGACTGAAAACTGTAAATAAATGTTATTCAAGTGCTTGATTAGATAAATTAATGACAAGAAGAACTAAATGTGTAATAGGTATAAACAAGTGCTTGTATGAAAAAAAAAATTAGAAATTCGAAAACTGTGAATAAGTTTTGCTTTTAGAAGGAAGTCATCCCACTGGCCCGTTACACATTACCACAGAGACACACTTCACACATATTTATAAATTTTTATTTTCAGTCAACAGGGTGACTAAACCAGCTTTTCTAGTTTGTTTAGCATGCTTTTCAGGTGCTCTTACACACAGATTCACTCTTAATGGCTCGTATGACTCGTTTCATTTGTTTCACTTTGGTACAAACATATATAAAAATTCTCGAGGGGTCCAGACCTGCTGTCACGTTCAGATAGTCTGTATCTCTCGATAGGGGGAACAACAGGAAAAAGTTAAAATGCGTTAAAAATGCTAAGATTTAAATTATTTACCCCAAGTTATAATAAGTAAAAGTTAAGTATTATTATAACCATAGAGGTCTTGATACAGTAAATCTGCATTTGGAACTGTAGATAAAGGTAAAAAATGGGTCATTTTCTATGAAGTATTACTGTAATTAGAGCATAATAATATAAGTCATGATGATTAAGAAACTGAAAGTCACCGTGTAATAAAACAAACAGCAGCATGATCTGAATCACGTTTCTTTCATAAGACACAACTGAGAAGCTGCAAAGCTCAGTGTTTGACGACTGTCGGGCTAATAAAACCAGCTGCCGGTTGGTTTCCAGGCATCATCATCACTGGAGGAGGCTGCATGTTTACAATTGTTTGAGACTGCATGTTGATGACAGTGGGAGGTTTTTTGCGATGTTTTATCTCACGATGCATCTGACACCAGGCACACCAAACGCAGCAACAAGAAACTCCAATGTCTTTACAGAGAGAACCCTGAGGAGAACCAAAGTGAAAAATCAGTTTTTAATTCAACATACTCAACATGTCATTAGAAATTTTCATCAGCTTTACATGCATCATACCTTGATTCCATATCTGTTTCTCATGGAGGCCCTTAGAGACAAGAGTGCAGGAGGAACAAACAATGGTATCCCACAGGCTGCGAGTATTGCAGGGCTGCATACGTCGCATAATGGCAGACACTGGTTTTCTCCAAATTGTCCTGAAACTGTGCAGGCAAGGCAAGGACAGCACCAGAAACCATAGCAGCCTGAAGAACACGCAGAGACAAACTCTCACACACACTCTTCAGTGACTTGGCCTTACTAAAGAAGGTCATAGAAATGAGAAAAATAGACCATTAAGAAATACAAATTATACAAAGTTGTAGTATTGATTCTTACAAGTACTCGCATTCTCAAAGCAGTCTAAGACACCGCTGTCCCAGTCTATCAAGGGTTTTTCTGCCATTGGTTGTTGGACAACTTTAGCCACGGACAGTGAACAATGAACCTAAAAACACACAGAAATCAAAGCAAAGGTAAAAGAAACACATGATATGCAGAGGCTTATATTGTATTATATATCTTAATGTTTTACCACTCCTTCAGTAGGCTTATGTGTGTGAAAATGCCATTGTTGTACCTCCATGTTGCAAAA